TTAAACAAATTTCTATTGATAAAAATAGTAATTCACATAATTGTAAATAAAACTATAGATTAAAAAAAATATTTTATTAAAAAAAAAGTTATTTTATATTTAATTTCGTTCTAAAACATTGACAGAATGTATACTATGAAGAAATTGTGCAAAATGTAATTACTTCAATTATATTCATATTTCGAGCGGTGTTTTATTATATATGGAACATTTGAAACATTATAACATGTTATTATTTGATATATAATTTAAAAATAAAAGATTGATAAAATAATGTAAAAAAATTACAAGTGGCAAATTTTTAGACTAAATATAAATATAACATACAAGTATAAGTGTTGCAGCTTTGGAAGTATTTTCAGAGAACACACACACACACACACACACATATATATATATATATATATATATATATATATATATATATATATATATATATATATATATATATATATATATATATATATATATGTATATATATATATATATATATATATATATATATATGTATGTATATATAAATATATATATATATATATATATATATATATATATATATATATATATATATATATATATATATATATATATATTGTGCAATTAAAGTAACAATGCAAGCAAACCATTTTCGGAAAGACACAATACACGATAAAACACATAGCAAAACAATATGCATCACTTGCAGTAAAGGGAAGTAACAAAAACAAAAAAAAATCGGCTAAAAAAATCATAAATCTGTCATATGTTTTCGTTATGAGTAAAAATTTTAATTTATATATTACATTGTTTTTTACTTATAAATACGACAGAAAACAGATATTTTTAAAATTTATTTTATATGTATATTGTCTGTTTGTCTAATTCTTTTTAAAAAACTTTAACCGAATTGTTAGAAGTTTCGCCTTAATAGCCTACTGATTTCCACTTGTTTCAATTAATACACTGTGGAAATCAAATAAAGTTTACAGTTTTTGCCTGGTTATGGTTCTGGTTGATATTCTGTGTCTTAGTTGCTTGAATAGGCAAACATGATATTGCATACAATAGCAAAGGCATTCGAAGATTTTCTATATGCCGCAGCAGGATTTGATTCATGCATTATTTAAGGTAGGGGGTTGTGTTAGCGATTGACACACTGTAGCTTTGAAGGAGTCGAACAATTGTTAAAGTTTATATTTTTTATGCTGTATTTGTTTCATAAATTTTTCTATCTCGTGAAGAGGAGATAAGCGATGGAAGCTTTAATGAATGCAAATGGGATTTAAATAGCACACAGCTAATTTACAAACTTGAGGCATCGCGAGGCGGATGCGGACCGCACCGGGTGACACATTGGGGCAGGGGGTGACAACAAGACACAAATCGCAAATTATATAGAAGAAAAATGCTTTCTACTGTTCGACTATTTATTATTTAGAGTTACCAAGCCTTTTTTAAGTACAAATTGATAATCACGACAAAAGGTGGGCGGGGGGGGGGGGGTGGAGGCTGACGAGAAAACACCAACTGTAAAATTTAGAAGTTTACTGAGAAAATGTTTTGTCGATTACTTTCAAACACCACTGATAAGTCAATCAACGATCGGGGTAGGTTTATATGCAGTAGGCCTACATATATTAAAATTAGAACGATAATAACGTTTGATTAAGCCAGATTTGAAAATTGAAATGTAAATTATTTGAAACTTTAATTTTTTTTAGGAATGACCAAGAAGTTTCTGCTAAAGTGCTGTACTACTCCTTGCACAGTTCGGTGCCAGTCACGCCATTGTTTGCACACCTGACACGTGCATCCACACACCTTGTCCCAAAACGACAGCGGAGACTTGCAAAAGGAAATTTGTAGCCAAGGGCGGCTACTGTGTATGCTGTGACCTCAGTCTGTGTTTCCTGAGTAAGGGGAATTGATCGCCTTTTTAGAAAGCTGATTCACAGAATATGTGATATCAAGCTGAGAATGTTTTTTTTTCTTTACTTTAAATTTATGTTTTCTATAGATTTTTAAATTGCGCAAACATTTTGAATTTATTATAAAAATAATTGCAGTTTATCATCCATGATATCAAATCTCGACTAAAATCACAATATCTATTTAAGTTTCGTACTTTTCCACAGGTGAAATTGTACCCTGAAGACGTCGGGTGATTTTTAGAGCTACGCTAAACTTAAATTTTTAAATAAGACAAACAAAATATTCATAGAATTAAAGTGATTAAATTATCACACTGGTAACAATAACCTACAATACATTGCAAAGTAGTCCAAGTTCTTTTTTCTTTTTGTTTTTAAGTAAGAAAACGCTTGGCAGTTCTACGTGCTCTTATTTTCCGCAAATTTTTATAAATCTTAAGTATTTTATTCTATACTAATCTATTAAAAAAATAGTAGTCTAAAGTATCAATTAAACAACATGTTCTCATCTATGCTATTATAACTTGATTCAGACACATGAAACAAATTTAGAAAGATAAAACACAATTCTCCCTAGAACCTGGAGAATCCTGCATCTCTAAGCTGCTACGAGGAATTCCAAGCACGCGAATATAGTTGAGGTGAGTGCAAATAAAAACCTATTGGTAGGCTTCAAGTTGAGCTCATACAGATTGGTGGGCTTCAAGTTGAGCTCAGACAGTTTGGTGGGCTTCAAGTTGAGCTCAGACATTTTGGTGGGCTTCAAGTTGAGCTCAGACAGTTTGGTGGGCTTCAAGTTGAGCTCAAACAGTTTGGTGGGCTTCAAGTTGAGCTCAGACAGTTTGGTGGGCTTCAAGTTGAGCTCAGACATTTTGGTGGGCTTCAAGTTGAGCTCAGACAGTTTGGTGGGCTTCAAGTTGAGCTCAGACAGTTTGGTGGGCTTCAAGTTGAGCTCAAACAGTTTGGTGGGCTTCAAGTTGAGCTCAAACAGACTGGTGGGCTTCAAGTTGAGCTCAGACAGTTTGTTGGGCTTGAGTTCAAACAGTTTGGTGGGCTTCAAGTTGAGCTCAAACAGTTTGGTGGGCTTCAAGTTGAGCTCAGACAGTTTGTTGGGCTTGAGTTCAAACAGTTTGGTGGGCTTCAAGTTGAGCTCAAACAGTTTGGTGGGCTTCAAGTTGAGCTCAAACAGACTGGTGGGCTTCAAGTTGAGCTCAGACAGTTTGTTGGGCTTGAGTTCAAACAGTTTGGTGGGCTTCAAGTTGAGCTCAGACAGATTGGTAGGCTTCAAGTTGAGTTCAAACAGTTTGGTGGGCTTCAAGTTGAGCTCAAACAGTTTGGTGGGCTTCAAGTTGAGCTCAAACAGATTGGTGGGCTTCAAGATGAGTTCCAATAGAAACAGTTTGACGGCACAAAAGTAAACACCTAAAGTTAACAAATTGAGAGACTAAATCTTAATGGCCTAACCAAAAAATACAACAAAACCTGTTAATGATACTAGTCAGTAGCGTACGCAGGGGGGGAGCAGGGGGAGCGGCCGCTCCCCCTCTGGCCATTTTCAGCCAAGTGGCGCCTTTTTGGAAACTTATATATATATATATATATATATATATATATATATATATATATATATATATATATATATATATAATACATGTATATAGAACGTGCTAAAAATTCGGCGCCTTTTTTTGCTCATTTCGCTCCCCCTACAACGAAAACCTGGATACGCCTCTGATACTAGTGATTGATTGCGTTCCAGTATAGTTGAATTAGCCATAGTAGAGACTGTATAGGCTTTTTTATGGCTAAATTGTCATATGTTACTATTATCACAGATATACCACAATTACATACATATACATACTGACACGAAGTCATACTTTCACATGTAAACACATATGTATACGTTGGTGTATATATATATATATATATATATATATATATATATATATATATATATATATATATATATATATATATATATATATATATATATATATATATATATATATATTATACATTTATAAAACGATCTAGCTTCTGCAAATGCAATTTACTGGGCAGGTGGTAAGTAATTGTGTTGTCAAATAAATTGCAAATGCAATAAAAATTTTAATTTGCTAGGAGCTTATCTGCAAAGTCGGATCACATTTTTCTTGAAATAACATGGACATGGAATAATTGTTTTACCGTACATTGTAAATTCAAAGATACAAGTGCCTGTGTTAAAGTTCCATTTAAATGAGACCCGAACGAATTCGGTAAATTAAATATTTTTTAATTAGAGTTTAAAAAATATGTGGTTGGTTAAATGACGATAACAGGTAGATTTTAATTACATCAGGACATTATCCAACGTGTACGTCACATTTTATTTGTTCAGACATTCAGGTAGCAAATATTCAAGTGAGATTCAGAGATTCATCTGACCCTCCCCCCCCTAACTCCCCCCCCCCCCCTCACCTCACACACTTTGTCTTTAGGCCAGTGCTTTTTCCCTGTATTTTTTCCCCGTGGGGTGGGAGGACTATATTTTCGAGAAGGGAGGATGGGCACTGATACAAATAAAATATTCTCTATTTAAATAACGTTTCATTCAGGAGGTGGGGTTAGTAATGTTGTGACTACTAAAGAAAAATCGAAAACGCCGAAATTAGAAACATCTTTCAAGAAAATTAAATAATTTAATTAATACGTGAAATATCTAGTAATTTTTTTTAATGTAGCAGATTATAAAAAAAGTAGTTCGGCCACAAGGGGAAAGCTTATTTTTTAGCAGTGTTTCTTGATGTTATCGGGAGGGGGAAAGGAGTGGCGGAATAGATCTTCCGGGGTGGTTGGGGGAGGGTGGGGGGTAAAGTATTTCACAGTTTCATTAATTGAAAAATTAATTCATAATGTAAGTCATATGTTTTAAATGAGCAGAGAGTCGAAATACATTAAAAAAAGTATTTTTAACAACAAATTTGGAAAAACAATAATTGAAAAGATAAAATTAATTTTAGCTGTCTCTCATGCGTACAGAAAAGTATTAATGCTCTTTAAACATAAGTCTACGCCCCTGATAATGTTTTTGCTAAAAGGCTATTACTAAGCTAATCGTTTGCTGCATTTAACATTTTGCCACGAGGAACTTCAGTAGCAGTCATTTTCTGTGCCATTTTAGACGCTGTGTTATAATCTTCCAACAAGTAAGTCTTAAGGTTTTTAAATCAAACTACCTTATCAATACACAAAAATACATTGCTTGAAATTTTACTATAGTTACGATATTACTGTTTGTTTGAAATTACGATAAGATTTTTGAGCTTTGTATGATTGCACTAATATGCGTTGCACAAGTTAAAACACAACAGATGTTATGTATCTAATTATTTAATTCTGTAATTGTTGATTTGTAACCAGTGTTTCTTTCAGATATTTTTCTCTCGGGGGGAGGGGGGCCACTTGAAACAACATGATAAGAGTTTTTTCACTTCTTGATGTATTTTTATTTATTATAGTAACACAAAAGTTGATTACAAATGACGATGGGTTCTAACATGCATTGCTAATGAAGCTGGATTTTGTTAGCTGAACCATAATGCTATTTTTTCGAAATATATTGCAAAACTTATCTTAAATTATTTCAACATTGGTTTATTTTAAGCATGAACAAGATGTTTCTGTGTGTTCTGGTATCATTCCTGGCCCTTTTCGGCGCCTGTCATGCCATTGTATGTACACCAGGCATATGCAATACAATGCCTTGTACCGATGTGACGGCGGACGTATGCAACGGGAAAATAGTACCCAAGGGCGGTTTCTGTGGATGTTGTGACGTGTGCAGGACTCTTCTCAGTAAGGGAAAATAATTTATAATTATGGTTTTTTAAATCTAGTTAATCCGATAAAATACGATACACGATATGTTTTAACGTAGCCCAATGCTGTCTGAGTTTTTCTTTCAGGTAATTTCGTTTTGTTGTCATTTATTTTCAAAACACACACTGTTGTGATTTGCTTTCATTGAGGTCATAAAAAACTACACAGTTCTTTATCTTCCACGTTCTTAGTTTTATTGTTGGAAAAGATTTCCCCAAACAAAATTAAGTATACGTGTCAACTTGTTAAACGCCACTTAGGCCGTTGACTCCGAATTCAGCCTGCTTTTCTTTCTGGATTTTTTTCTAAAAAGTTTCTAAAAGCACTTTAGACACTATTGATGTAATGTATTGCACGATCCGTTTATGAAGATTCGGAATTCTAGCTAGTTCAAAATACTGTGCTGAGTTTTATCATACATTGAAAGTCGTTGTGAACCCTTCCCTAAATCTAATTGTCGGCAGATCTTAGCCTCTATTAAGTATTTAAATATATTTTCTCAGCTAAACTACTCCAAAAGATTATCTGCAAGAAAAAAAAAAGAAAAAAACATCTTTTCAACTACTAGCAGTCGATACAGAAAAATGAAATAATATCAATTATCTTTAGAACCAGGTGACGCCTGCAGTCCTCTGGTGCTGGAAGATCCAGCTTGTGCCGTCTGCCCTGATGGGTTCGTCTGCGACCCAAATTCACTCACCTGCAAACCCGTACTTGTGTCGTAAATGTAGGTTCCAAAGGAATAAAGGTGAGTTGGAATAGAACAACGCTGACAAGGTGAGTTCAAGTAGAAGATTGGTGGCCTTAAAGGTGAGTTCAAATAGAAGATTGGTGGCCTTAAAGGTGAGTTTAAATAGACGATTGGTGGCCTTAAAGGTGAGTTCAAATAGAAGATTGGTGGCCTTAAAGGTGAGTTTAAATAGACGATTGGTGGCCTTAAAGGTGAGTTCAAATAGAAGATTGGTGGCCTTAAAGGTGAGTTCAAATAGAAGTATGATGGCCTTAAAGGTGAGTTCAAATAGAACAATAATGGCCTTAAAGGTGAGTTTAATTAGAAGTATACTGGCCTTAAAGGTGAGTTCAAATAGAAGAATGGTGGCCTTGAAGGTGAGTTCAAAGAGAAGTATAATGGCCTTAAAGGTGAGTTCAAATAGAAAATTGATGGCTTTAAATGTGTATGGTTTTTATTCAAAAACACAAATTAACTGTTTGAATGTTAATGAATTGTTAATTTGACCAGTTAAATAAGTGTACCTGACTTACATGTTAATTAGAATCTAACTTATTTCAGTACTTGGGCCACAGCAGAATGAAAAAAACTTTGGATATGATTTAGAATGTAACAACCTGGTAGTTACAGCATCCACACAGACTAGAGAAATTGTAAAAATATTTAGTACTATTTCTGTTGTTACGTTTGATTATCATTAAAAAGATTCAAGTGCACAGAATTTGTTTGTAATATTATTTTATTTGTCAATGAAAAAAGTTCATTAAAAAATAAAACATAACCATTGTGTGAGACGGGGAATTTAAGTACATATACCGATGGCAAAAGCTTTCCAAACAACTCTGACCAAGACTGGTCTCTCCATCTGTCCCCAGGTGTATCCAATCGTCTTGGTGTCCTCTTCCAGGTCACGTCTCCAGGTCTTCCTTGATCTGCCCATTTTCCTTTTGCCCTGTCTTGTTATGCTGGATGTTATGATGTATGTTTAATCAGGGTATGTTGGTGCGAACGAATGTTGGGGGGAAAGATATAATGAACGCATGGGACGATGACACGGAGGAAAGATGATGACATTTTGGGTACAAACTGGTTGCTTTGTATTGTGTGTGAGTTAGTTCTAGTCTTGATCGTCTTAGTGGAAGGGATGTGTGTGACCTATGTGACTCAGATGGGAGGGTGAATTCGTGAGACGTACATTTGGACGGTAATTAAAAGCAGAATCGATGAGGCCAGTAGTTTAATAAATATTGGAACGAAAAAAAAACATATGCATCAAATCGATTAATTGTCGCCTGTGTCGTTGATATATGTAAAGGCATAACGACGGCCTATGGTTGTGGTATCCTTACATGGTAGTGGTATTCTCAAATGGTAGTGGTATTCTCACATGGTAGTGGTATTTTCACATGGTGGTGGTATTCTCAATCGGTAGTGGTATCCTTACATGGTAGTGGTATTCTCAAATGGTAGTGGTATTCTCACATGGTAGTGGTATTCTCACATGGTAGTGGTATTCTCACATGGTAGTGGTATTCTCACATGGTAGTGGTATCCTCACATGTTAGTGCTATTCTCACATGGTAGTGAATCAAGTGGTACAACCCTTCCACAGACTCTACACTGGATACAGGCTTTCTGTGTGTGTGACCATTCCGTCTCCGTTTTCTCTGGAGGGCCTCTACGTCAGCTCGCATTTGATATGTCTGTCGCTATAGTACCTCGTTTCTAGTGGTTGTAGGCAAGCGTGTATTCTTGGTAGCAATTACAATAATAATAAACAATAGACATCATATACATATTTACATATGTACACATTCAGCTCACAGACATTTGCAAATGTATACGTGTGTTAATAAATGGGTGTTGATGTATGTGCGTGTATTTGTGTGTATTTATGTATATATGTATGCATGCTCGTATTTATGTATTTTTGTATTTATGAGTATATGTATGTGGTTATATGTATGTATGTGTGTATATGTATTTGCACCTGTATGTCTGTATGTGTATGTGCGTGTATGTGTATGTATGTGTATATATATGTCTGTATTTATGTATTGGTGTATGTATGTGTATGTGATTATGTGGGTATATGTATGTATGCATGTGTGTATGAATATGTGTGTATATGTATGTGAGCGTAAGTATGTATGTGTATTGTGATTCAGCTTATGTTTGCCAATGCACCAGAAAAGCAAACGAGATAACACATCAGGTGTTTCTTAATGACCATGCCAGGTAGACATGTTCGATTTAATACCTACTCAATTATTCTCTATCGCTAAACTAGATAAGTTTTCGATTACCTCAAGTCTTATTACAACAAATCCTTGTGCCACTCAAGTCTTTCATTTCAGAAATAATAGAGGTAAATTGGAAATAGAGTAGAAGTTAACGGACATATCAATCAACGCTAGGGCCTTTGTGAAATTCTCATCTGAACAGTCATGTTACTAAGTTAACTTCATACTTTGAGTAAATGTTGACCATGTAATAACTCAGATTTGACCAATCAACACATAAGTTACATTTTCCACATTAGTTTTTGGCCTGTGTGATAAGATCTATCCACTTCGCAAAAAAAAGAACAAAACAATAAAATAAAAACAGCTCGAAAAGTTGAAATATAATATATAGAATACAGCTAATAAATAGAGTGCATGATATACAAAAAGTAATAAGAAATATATGGTAGTCATATATTACACATTTCTACGATGCATTTGCTACAGTTCGTTGCATTTTAATTTAAAAATGGTGTACCACATTTATGACTAAATTATATTGTTGTCTTTTTCAGCGCGCGTTTCTCTAAAGTGAAAACTTCTGTTGTTATAATTATAGTCTGCGATTGTAAACCTTTGAAGTGGGCCCCGATGAGTTTAGAGTTAACCCAGTTGCATTTTTTTATGAATGAGAGACCTCAGCACTACTGATATTTATCTTAAAATTTTATTTAAACTTTACCACACACACACATACATTCAGACACACACACACACACGAACGAAAGCACGCAAACACACACGCATACACACACACACAGACACACACACACGGAATCATAGTATGGCTGGATCAATCGTGCCTATTGAACAATAAAATATAAAAGATCCACCTAATAAATTTAGGTCTTATATCATGTCCACCCCAACTTTAACATTTATCATAATAAAAGAAACGTATTGATCCGCTCGTGTTATGTACCAAGCTGAATATTTTAACATAAATCTATTCACCTTTTTATATCGGCTACAAACTTAGTTGGGATTTACTCGACGTTGTAACTTTTTTTTATAGCCTTTACAAATTCAAATAATATTTTTTGTATGCCTGTTATTAGGCTAGCGATACTGGTTATGTCAGCAGTCACCCAGGTGGAGGTGGGGGGGGGGGGGGTAAAATTTGATTTATAGACACGTGTACACGTGAACAGCTGGTATTTATAATAAAGTATGTTCACGTGTTTGAAACTTTGAAAACAAATGGACATAAGCTTGTGTTATGTTACAAACATTAAAATATTTAAAACATTGTTTTTTTATTGTAAAAACCAATAATTACACAGTAAAGCGAAGTTTACCATGGTCTGTAAAAAAAAAAACATTTGGGAGGGGGATAGGGGCTAAAAAAATCGGTCCGCATCGGTCGTGGGGGTGGGGGTGGGTTGGGGTGCGGGGGAAGTGTTAATCCGAATTTGTCGCTCGCGAACAAGGTGTCTAAAATTATATATTTTCTTTTGTGCTGACTCCATCAATCGATGACTCCTTAATTGTCAGGCAGGCTTAAACCAGTTATCCTAATGAAAATACCACTCAGTAACACATAGTAAGTACTTTAAGTACATCTAAATTCAAATAATGCATTTCGAAGACAGCACTAATAATGAAATACAATTACGCCGCAAAAACGACACGTAATAGATTTTAGTCGATTACTTGTGGTATAAATCCTAGGTTAATTGTTATAAGATAAAAATCTAATAAATTTAACTATAGTATTACAAATAAAAAGACATTGTTAAATGAAAACGGACAAATGGTTAGTTAGTTGTTAATGCTAATATTTCTAACACGTGACGAAAGTGTTGGTTGCGAGACGGACTTTCCTTTCGTCATTTCGCGGTAGAACTATTTCCGTCTTTCTTCTGAGAAAGTGACGTAATAAATCTTTCATCGAATCGTTATGCCATTCACGTTTTTCAAACTGTTTATAGCTGTTATAATGCTGAAGTATTAATTGCTAATTCCTGAATCTGAATTTTTTCCCCCACCAGAGGCGTACCTACTTAGTGGGGTAGTGGAGCGGTCAACTCCGTGGGTGGGGGTGGGGGGAAAAGTTATCAACTTTTGTGTAAAAAGTAAAGTAAAGAATCCTCGTTAGACATGAGTTAGGTACATATCAGAGCTGGGTGGTACATTTCAGTGAAATCAACACGGAACTGAACTTAAGACTTTTAGGTTAGTAGTCTAGCGCTTTGGCCAAGCGGTACCTCATACTTAAAATGACGTCATACCTCAGTCCAGAGGGGGGGGGGTGCGGACCGCACCGGGTGACACCATTTAGGCGGGTGACACCAAGGCAAAAAATAGCAAGATATATAGAGAAAAACTTGAGGGGGGTGCAAATCGAAAGTTTGAGGGGGTGGGGGGGGGGGTGCAAATCGAAAGTTTGTCCCCGGGAAGAGTCGCTACGCCTCTGAGGGGGTGACACTATTAAGTGCCGCACCGGGTGACACCCGACCTCGCTACGCCACTGTCTCAGTCTACCATCTCTCTCAAAATGTCACTGAAAAGATTATTTCCAGTCTAAATTATATACTGAGTTCGATCAACATTGAGTAGGCTATATAGATCAATAATATTACAATTTACATAATAAATAAAGTTTACCATAAGGCTAAAATTCAGTTTCTGGCATAATTTCAAATGTGTGTTGTAGCTGTTGTGTGACAGTGACAGACAACACCCCCTAATCCATTTAGTAGGCCTGTCTTATTAGAAAGTAAGCGATGGAGCAAGTAGAATTGTAAGCACACCAGGATGCCCAACAAAGTATTAATTTTTTTTTGTGAATATCAATTATAAAAAACACATCTTACCAGAACAGAAAATAAAACTATTTTTAAAAAAAAATTTTTCCTACCTACAATACAAAAGGGGTTAATAATTTGCATGAGCTTTGGTTAGTATTAGAATCAGTGTTTCTTCCAGGCATCTCTTCAGGGGGGTTGGGAATTAGAAAAAGTCTACCGCCCCCCCCCCCCCCGCTTATATATATATATATATATATATATATATATATATATATATATATATATATATATAAGAACGGAAACAGGCTCATTTTTAACTACCAGCCACCCCCGGTATTGACAACTTGGATACTCCCTTGGTGGTTCCTCAACCAATAGCATTTTACTTCCTGATCCCCACTCTATAAAAAAAAAAGTAATGCCTAAAAATTCTTAACAACGAACGAAACAAGTCGTAACAATCAAGTAACTGGTTCTAACTTATGAAGCTGATCATGGAATTCAAATCTTTGACGAAGCTTTACGTGTTTGCAACTAGCTGCTTGATTGTTTCGACTTTAGCAACTAACCAGGTTTTTCAACACAAGGTTTGCTAAATACTTTTCTTTATTTATTTTTTGTTACTTTTTACTATTACAGATTTTAATATTAAAGTTTTAAAAGTAAAAGTTTTAAAAGCTCTAATTTGAGTGCTCTACAACTAGGCCACTAAAAATATGTTTTTATTCCAATATCAAGCGATGTGAGCTACGGTCACGAATGGAGAAAGACTACTGTATTGGCATGACAGCGTTAGACAATTATTTAGAAGAGCTGGAATCGGATCAGTCAGCTGAATTAGAGCCTTTTTCAGAAGATAAAGAAGATAGGTAATAGTTTTAGTATTATATTGAATGGTTCAGGTTTAAGAAGATGGGTAATACTTTTAGTGGCATATTAGCTGGTTCATTGATCTTCTTTTATCTTTGTTCTTAATTCTAGTACTGGAAGGGATTCCATTCAACACAATTGAGAATTAAATGTCATATTGTTATGCGTCATTGAGGCCATTGGCTACGATTTCAGCCTGCTTTTCTTTTTGGATTTGCTTTCATATCCTTTGTCCAACCAAGAACAACAAGGCAGCAGTAGTTTGATTTTGGAGTTGTCTCTCATCGAAGAGTTGCTGTACCCCGCTGTCGAGCCTCAACTGGCCGAGGGTTGGAACTCGAGATTATTTGACTCGACCACACTAGTTTACTGACACAAATACAGTGAAAAATGTTTTGCCTTCTAGCAAATACACATGTAAACCTATAAATATATTCTTTCTTGAACTGTAGGAAGCTAAACTCTAAACAAAAAATTGCTGTGACTGACAATTATAATTACTAATCCTCAGGGGCGTAGCGAGGGGGGGGGGGGCGGGGGGTGCGGACCGCACCGGGTGACACCATTTAGGGGGGGTGACACCAAGGCAAAAAATAGCAAAATATATAGAGAAAAACTCGAGGGGGGTGCAAATCGAAAGTTTGAAGGGGGGGGGGTGCAAATCGAAAATTTGAAAGTTTGTCCCTGGGAAGGGTCTCTATGCCTCTGGGGGGGGGGGGGGGGTGACACCATTAAGTGCCGCACCGGGTGACACCCGACCTCGCTACGCCACTGCTAATCCTCTCAAATGTTACAATTAAGAACAAAGAAGAACAAAGTTACTTGATTCTTTAATATATATATATATATATATATATATATATATATATATATATATATATATATATATATATATATATGTAAAAAAACATTATATAGAATGTAATACTTGTAAATGTATTTTAATTGCCTAACCAAGTTCAAATGTTTTAATAAAATTAAGACTGGGTCAGTCGTACGCCCACAAGGCTGTTGTCGATGGCTATGTGAATGGAACATCCGTCCCTCACGGTACAGCTTGTATGGTTGACCCACAGTCAGGAACCTCTGAGATGTACAAGTGCTTGAACGGGCTCTGGACGTCCTACCGTGAGTTGTTTAAATTGTCTTTTAGGAATATGTTTTTTTAAAATAAATTCAGCAATATTACTTTGTCACAAGGTAGTCGTTTACAGCTAGTATTCGGCGTGAGCATACACCTGCTCACCTGGAAGTCTTGAGTTTCGATTCTGGCCTAGAGGCTGAAGAAATTTCCTGAACCCACCAAACTCTGATGGGCACCTGATTCAGGCTAGTGAAAACATGGCGACTCGACGTAGCGCTGACCACACTATCCAGGCTCATTAAAACAGATGAACTCAGCTTCTTTTGCCCCATGTGTCTTGACAGAAACAGAAGTAGATTATAATACACTCACACACAGTGTTTAAAAAAAACTAATCATTACGACTCCTTGAGGTTCCTTAAGGATAAAGTAATACAACAGTTTAACCATTTAAACGAAAAACAATTTGTTTTGTGTAATGAAGTATAATATTATCTCACTGTCTTATACCCAAATGTAAATAAACCCGTAACATTGACTAAATTTTTCAAGTAAAAAATAGACGTGTAAATGCATAGTCAAATCAAATTTTAGTATTAAATGAAACATTACTCCCCTTTGAACAGATATCCGTAATCGGAGGGAGGCAAACACCACAGCTCTTGTAAGGAGAGCCCGGGCCTCGTACTATGTCTATCAAACCTCGTGTAGAACTGTATGTGACTGTGGCTGGTGGCACCGCCGCTGTCATACACACTGCTGGACCAACCGTAAGTTGTCGTCTGGTCAGAGGCGTAGCGAGGGGGGGGGCGGGGGGTGCCGACCGCACCGGGTGACACCAATTAGAGGGGTTGACACCAAGGCAAAAAATAGCAAAATATATAGAGAAAAACTTGAGGGGGGTGCAAATCAAAAGTTTGAGGAGGGGGGTTGTAAATCGAAAATTTGAAAGTTCGTCCCCGAGAGGGGTCACTACGCCTCTGGGGGATGACACCATTAAGTGCCGCAGCGGGTGACACCCGACCTCGCTACGCCACTGCGTCTGGTTGATCAGAAGTTTAAACCTTTAGTAAAAAAACAAATTGTGTGCAGTTTATTTGGGAGTGGTGGGGTGATATTGCGAGAAGATTTTTATAATTTAGGTTCAACGTGTTCAAATTACACAAATTTCTATTTAAGGGGGGGGGGGGCTTTTCACCCACCTGAATAATTATATAAATAGGGGTGGGGGCGAAAAATTGATTGTTCCAAAAGGAGACCGGGAGAGGTCGCCAAGACTCATCAAGACATCATGGAACCTGGAAGGATGAGCAAAGAAAGACCCGAAGATACCTGGCGAAGGGTAAATTAAAAAAAAAAAAACTCCCTCCGCCTCGCCCTCGCTACGCCTCTGGTTAAAGGCGTATGCTTTACTGCCAGTTTTAAAAGGCGGAGAAAATCATTCCAGTATGTAGGATGACGATTCAATGTTACGTAACTAAACACTCCTTGGACATTTACTTACAGGATGTGACCCTATGAAAATATACCGCCTCCCCCCCCCCACAAGATGAAATGGAATTTATATAGAAAATATATATTTTTAACAGTCTCCGCCCCCCCCCCCCCCGAAAAAAGTCTGAAAGAAATTATTTAAGGCAGGGGTTCCCAACACCGTGCCCGCGGGCGACATGGCGCCCGCCGAACAATTCATATGTACCCGCCTCTCACTATTCGACAGAGACAGAATTTTTTTCATAAACATTATCGAAAGGTTGAAGGGGATGGAAATCGAAAGTTTGAGGAGGGGGGGGGGGGAGGGGGGTGCAAATCGAAAATTTGAGGAGGGGTGCAAATCGAAAGTTTGAGGGGGGGGGTGCAAATTGAAAATTTGAGGGGGGGGGGGGTGTGCAAATCGAAAGTTTTGTCCCCGGGTGACGGGAAGGGTCGCTACGCCTCTGGAAGGATTTTGTCGATTTAAAAAAGGGGGTGCCCGCCATCCTACCGATATTTTAGAATGTGCTCTAGAGTAAAAAAAGGTTGGGAACCCCTGATTTAAGGTGTTCGTTTGGATTAAGAGATAACTAGTTAAATGGCGCATAGCAGTTTGGTCCAAAATAAAAAAAGAAATTTCAAAAATGTAAATAAAGTACAATAAACTCTTAATTTAAATCAGAATGTAATACCAAAACAATGTTCGTGTCTGAGACGTATACTTAGCAATTAGAAAGTCGGTTTGTTTAAAATTAAATTGTTTTTAATATAAGTAAGACTATTATGTTTATGTATTACATTTTTATTTTCAGGATTTATTAATAACTACCCTACAATATATTGTCCTTCAATTCCTGATGTAACTGTAACTAACGCTGTATACGCTGTAAGTTATATGGAAAATAAAATTACATATCTTAATGCTATCTATTCAATCTTCAGTATTCTGTCAAGAATCCTATATATTACACACATTAGCCTATACATTTATATATATATATATATATATATATATATATATATATATATATATATATATATATATATATTGTATGACAGAGAGTTTATTGGTCTGATGCCACAGCTTACGATATAGAGGATGGTTATATAAGGTAAACATTCTTATTATATATTCTTATATATATATATATATATATATATATATATATATATATATATATATATATATTAAGTGTGACACAAGCCCTAACTTTGGGTACTGGTACACACGGGTGCGGGTACAGGTATACTTACATGTACACCTACATGTAGATAGTCATACGTACAGGAACAAGTAGGCACTACAAGTACATGTGCTTGAACGGGAACAGGCATGGGTCTAAATATGTGAACAGGGTCGAGATATGCGTACAGGGTCTAGATATGCGTACAGGGTCTAGATATGTGTACAGGGTCTAGATATGTGTACAGGGTCTAGATTTGTGTACAGGGTCTAGATATGTGTACATAGTATAGATATGCGTACAATGTCTAGATATGTGAACAAGGTCTAGATATGTGTACAAGGTCTAGATATGTAAACATGGTCTAGATATGTAAACATGGTCTAGATATGTGTACAGGGTCGAGATATGTGTACAGGGTCTAGATATGTGTACAGGGTCTCGATATGTGTACAGGGTCTAGACAAGTGTACATGGTCTAGATAAGTGCACAGGGTCTTGATATGTGTACAGTGTCTAGATATGTGTACAGGGTCTAGACAAGTGTACATGGTCTAGATAAGTGCACAGGGTCTTGATATGTGTACAGTGTCTAGATATGTGTACAGGGTATAGATATGTGTACAGGGTCTAGATATATCTACAGGGTCTAGATATGTGTACAGGGTCTAGATATATCTACATGGTCTAGATAAGTGCGCAGGGTCTTGATATGTGTACAGTGTCTAGATATGTGTACAGGGTCTAGATAAGTGCACAGGGTCTAGATATGTGTACATGGTCTAGATATGTGAACAGGGTCTAGATATATGTACAGGGTCTAGATATGTGAACACGGTCTAGATATGTGTACAGGGTCTAGACAAGTGTACATGGTCTAGATAAGTGCACAGGGTCTTGATATGTGTACAGTGTCTAGATATGTGTACAGGGTCTAGTTATGTGTACAGGGTCTAGACAAGTGTACATGGTCTAGATATGTGTACAGTGTCTAGATATGTGTACAGGGTCTAGATATGTGTACAGGGTCTAGATATGTGTACAGTGTCTAGATATGTGTACAGTGTCTAGATATGTGTACAGGGTCTAGATATGTGTACAGGGTCTAGACAAGTGTACATGGTATAGATATGTGTACAGTGTCTAGATATGTGTACAGGGTCTAGATATGTGTACAGGGTCTAGATATGTGTACAGTGTCTAGATATGTGTACAGTGTCTAGATATGTGTACAGGGTCTAGATATGTGTACAGTGTCTAGATATGTGTACAGTGTCTAGATATGTGTACAGTGTCTAGATATGTGTACAGTGTCTAGATATGTGTACAGGGTCTAGATATGTGTACAGGGTCTAGATATGTGTACATGTTCTAGATATGTGTCCAGCGTACAGTTACATGTACAAGTAGGTCCTGCAAGTAGGCCTAATGGTACATGAATGGGTCAGGTACAGTTAAATAAATACACAGGTTAAGTACAGACAGACGCACAAAATACAAAAAAAACAGGGGAATATCTTTTCAAATAGGAACAGATTCATGCAAATGTATGTTTACGTTTTAACATTAGTAAATCACTTCTTTAATCTTAATAGTTTTCAACTTGAAAAATGTTTTTATCTTTTATTTTTGATTAGATCAAGACCAAATTCTGAATGAAAAATGTTTTGTTTAATTACAGACCCCGACTGACCAGTTGGCCACGATCTGGGTCACTATTTTACCTAGGCACCTACATTGTCACGTATGAAGCCAAAGATCGATACGGCGCCACGGCCTATTGCACTTCCCGTTTCACTGTTTCATGTACGGCAATGTGTATTACAAATTAGGGCCCGTGCACATATTATGCTTCAAACCTGGGGCGGGGGGGGGGGGGGGTGCTTTGTTTAATTTGTTAAATAGCGTTATATCGGATTAAGTCTATCGCTCTACACCTACCGAAAAAAGGAAAATAATTTTTTTTTATTAAAATTAAAGATTTTATATACTTTTTTTTAGCATTGCCAGCACCCCAACCCCCACCCCCACGAAAAAGAAAAAAAAAATATATATTGAATAGAGAATTATAAACTTCAATTCTTAAAACATTGTCGGCACCCTCAAAAATCTTTGAAAATAGTTTCTCTTTGTGTTGTGTAATGTGTTCCCAATCCCGTAATCTTAGTTGTTAAGACAAAAATTAAACAATTTTGTAAAAAAAAAAAAACCCACTAAACATTGGTACCTAATTGTAGATGTAATGCATTTCTTTGTTGTAAATGTTGTTAAACATGTTCAATTTCCCCTGATTGTTGACACATACAAATTTTGAAAGTGCGGATCGAAGCTTACTTTGCGAGTAGCGCTACCATAAGACTACCAAATCCCCAATCCAGACATAAAATTAAAAGCAATACCTGGGGAAAAAACAACTCAAATGACGATAGCTTGAGGTGAGATAATATCGACCTTAGGAGGTCATACATTAAACACGTCCTGCTTTTTAAAACGATTTTTATCCTCCGCTCCCCCCAGCCCATTCACCATCTTCACATATAGTCACGAACAACCAGACCCCTTCCCCTAAAGTTGAGTGATACATCAGTCTACCACCCCCCCCTCTCAAAATCGTATTTTTTAAACAAATTTCAAACAACGATTCATATTTAAAATATTTACCGTGCTCTGTCAACGTTGAGCATTTTGAACGATATGTATAACAATTTACAAATATAATATTAAGAAACAACGGCTAAATAAAATTCATTTTCTAAAATTAGTTTTTAAAAAGAAATTCGCGGCGCCACAGTTTCGGAGCCTCCCCTTGCCCCTCGTCAGTTATCACAAGAGTCCGACAACCTCTACCTTAAAGAGTTTTAACAAATGTCAACTAATTGCTGTAGGTCTATTACAGATCGCCGATGCTACTACTACGACTCTTACGGAGTGGGTGTCTACTCCATCCCCAATGGATATGTCAGCTGTGCGAGCTACCCGTATCTTCGCTTTATTTTCTTCTACATCTACGGAGAATCCTGCACGTATAGCTGCTATCCTGGCTATATACTACAAGGTTCAAGCTCAATTTCATGTACCCTGAATGGGCGTTGGAGCGCTCTGAGGCCCAGCTGCGTGCGTAAGTATATTGGCATATATATATATATATATATATATATATATATATATATATATATATATATATATATATATATATATATATATATATATATATATATATATATATATATATATATATATATATATATATATTATGTGGTATGGGAATGACCTTAGGTATACAGGTAGGTCTAAACATGAATGAGTTATATGCTGAAAGAAATCAATTGTCAGTGGGGGGGGGGGGGGTCGGCGTGTTCAAACCCTCGGGCAGATGAGGCTCGTAAGCTGGGGACAAATCCAAAATCAAACAACTGCTGCCTACTGCCTTGTAGTTTGTTGTTGGTTGGCTATAGAAGCAAATCCAAAAAGAAAAGCAGGCTGAAATCGGAGTCAATGGCCTCAACCAGTTGACACGTATACTTAATTGTGTTGGAGGCGTGGTTGAGTCGGAAAAGCTCATGGTTGTTAAATTCGAAAAAGTCTCGAGTTCGAACCCTCTGGCAGATAAGGCTTGGTCCATTCCAACACTAAAATTTAACCTCGAGGAAGAAGAAGAATTATTGTCAGTGTATGATCATCGATCCGTCCACTTAATTGCAAAAGATACAATAATTGACTCACGTGATATTGTTTTGTGTCGCAAAGTTATGAATTTTATATAGCATGGGTGGGAAAGAAAAAAGTTAAATGTGATTTTTCTCCATAATTTTTCAAATATGTTTTCACTTTTCTAAATCTGGCGCACATACAATGATGACTATGTCGACAGTCTCTTTCTTGGAACTCTATGACCGATGTTATGTAAAGTAAAATAACTGCCAAATCAATGCCATCTCTCTAATGCCTCTCCAAAAATATTACAATCTGATGATGATTTTAGATCTAATAATTGTAGTTGACAAACTTAGACAATACTGTGGCTGAAGCTCAAACAATTACAGATATTTATATTATATTTGTTGAAATGTGTTTATGAAGTGTAAATTGTTATTTAATTTTTTAGCACGGCCTGTATGTCCAGCACTGAAAGCTGTTCCAAATGGACAGTGGTCAGCATACAGCATGACATCTGGCTCTGTGGCATACCTTTACTGTCGAGACGGCTACACAGTTGACGGCCCAAGCTACGTCACTTGTCTTTCAAATGGGGTATGGTCAGTGGCTGGTTCGTGTAGGGGTAAGTCTCTTGCTTCATCATCTTTTCCCATTCGTGCTAAAGACACATGGGACAGATAGAATAGAGTTCTTATGTTTGAATGACCTCGGTTTACGAAGGGATAGTGTGGTCAGAACTATGCCCAGCCGCGTTAGTTTCCCTAATGTGACTCAGATAGGCCAACTCATCAGAGCTGAATCGACTCAGTGACGTCCTACAAACTATAGACTTGAGCCAGGGATCTGAACTCAAGACTTTCAATATCGCAGTCATAAGCTCTACCATTCGAGCAAGTGTCTTGCTTATTCCTTTTTAAATAGACTATTATTGTACAAGTCTATCTTTTAGCCTTTAAATTCTTACATTAGCTTTAAGATAATTTGTTCTGTTGTTTTCGTGTTTCAGATATTCAGCCTCCTGTGTTAAAGTGCCCATCAACCATTACTGCCGTCTCCAAGCCTAAGAAGCAGCCTGTTTCTGTGTCATGGGGGAGCTGGACTGTCTCCGACAACTCCAACGAGTTTGTTACAGTCTCCAGCAGCGCTGTCTCAGGGCAGCTGTTTCCGGTTGGGCAGACGGTAGTGTCAGTGCAAGCCACGGATAGAAGCGGCAACATTGCCAGCTGTGCCTTTGTTGTTTACGTGACTCGTAAGTCAGTTGGAATACTCTTGTAGTGAGGCATGATGAAGGGTCAAGGGTTCCTTCAGGGGCATACTTAGAATTCTTTTTTTTTGGGGGGGGGGGGGGGAGGAGGGAGAGGGATGGACCCTGTTTAATGTATAGGCATATAATATCTGATTTTAGAAAAAAAACACAGGAAAAAAGTCTCAAGAAAAAAAGTCGCAAATATGTATTTGCATGGAATTTGTTACAACTGTTATCTATTATGCTAATCAACTTACGATTAATTAAATGTAATGTAATCATTTTACATATATATGCGTGGGATGTATACATATAGTAATATTTATAACACACATAAAATATTTTACTATAAAGTTTGTAGGTTTTAATTGTAATTCCGTTTTACATCAAAAATATAATAGAGTTAAATATAACGTTCGAAGAGAAAGCCGACACGGTACAAAGGCTGTGATAGACGCAAAACATTAACATCACACAATATGGACGGCAAAGCCGACTGAAGAGAAGCCGACCAAGATACAACCTACGGCAAAAACATATGCAAACACAATGATGAGCCTACATTGTTTTAATAATAATAATTACCCACCGTGTATTTAACTGAATATTTAACAAAAGTTGAGGCTGCTATGGACATTATCTTACAGTATTTTAACTGATATTGTTATAAACCATTATGCTTTCAAAGTTTACAAGTATGCACGTTAAAAAACACCCAAATTTTATAATTATCAACAATCAAATCAAAATATTTCTTTGAATATTTTTGTAACTTTTTTCTGTGACTTTATTTCTGACTTTATTTCTGTGAATTTTTTTTCCGTTCACAATATTTCCTATAGGACTTTTAATTGTATTTTATGCATTTATTTTTGAGGCTTTAAAACTATAAAATATTATTGTTTGTCCACTTTCGTAGAAAACAAAAACTTAATTTCTGTTCCTGTCTTATTGAACTAAAATAAGTTTTGTACATATTTATTTTTTAAATATAAATTGATGTATTTGTTAAGGAACTTTTCACGTGTTGTGTTAGTGTTACAATAATCAAAACCCTAATATTTAATATTATCCAATAGTAATTTATACTCTAACACTTTATATTAATAACTTAAGCCTATCTACTGGCAGAATAACAATAAATGTTTTCATTTGCCATTGCAAATAACCATTTAACAGCTATGTAAATAATTTAAAACATCACATAATGAATTTAAAAAAACAAACCAAAAGGCCTATGGGGTCATCCGTAAATGACGTCACGCTTTTTTTACGATTTTTACCTCCCCCCTCCCCTCCGTCACACGTCGTCACAAAAGCCAGACCCCCCCCCCCCCTAAAATGACGTCACACCTCAGCCTACAACCCCCATCCCCTCAAAATTGCTGATGCATTTTTCTTAAAACATCAATATTTTTCCAAAATCTTGTCAGAACTCCGTCAACATAGAGTATTTTGATCAACTCCTATTACAATTTATTAAAACAGTTTTCTAAAACGCAAAATAACGGCTAAAATTCGTTTTCTAAAATTGCTTTTATATAATGCAAAAGTCTGACGTCCAACCATCTGAACCCCCCTCCCCTCCCCCTCATCACACACCGTCACAAAATTACGTACCAATACGAGTGTGACGTCATTTATGGACGACCCCTATAACCCCTATTCAATGTTTTCAGTCAACACCTGTCCAGCCGTCAGTGTACCCGACCAGGCCAAGGTCAGTTGTAGCCATGACAACGCTGTCGGGTCAGATTGTGTGTTCTCCTGCGCCGAAGGTTTTCAGTTGACTGGAGCGACGGCTCTAAGCTGTCTTGAGACAGGGAAATGGGAGAACAAGACAACAAGCTGCCAAAGTAATTTTTTTTTTAAAACTGTCGACTAGCATTCACGATTTCTTAACATCATTTTCTAAAACAAAGTTAAAAGCAACAGATCATATTGAATAATAAGTAGTTTTAATTGGGCATGAACTATTAGTCTATTAGTATAGTATAAAGGTCTATATTTGTTGCATAGATAGTATAGGGCAGTAATAGGCCTAATATTAATGGTAAAGCTCATGGTTGCCAAACCGAAAAAGTCTCGAGTTCAAACCCTCGGGCAGATGAGGCTCATTAGCTGGGGACAGCCACTCTTCTAGGACAGACAACTCCAAAATCAAACAACTGTTGCCTTGTAGTTTGTTCTTGGTTGGTCAAAGGCTATAAAAGTAAATCCAAAAAGAAAAGCAGGCTGAAATTTGAGTCAATGGCATCAATGACGCATAACCAGTTGACTAGTATACTTAATTGTGTTGGAGCAGAACCCTTCGAATACTAAAATTCGGTGTACCTTTGTGGAAATTTCCAGTATGTGATTTCATAATGGACAGTCCAATAGATTATAGTACATCTATTGTTGCTAAGAAATCAAAGCTAGGTTTTGTAATATTCTTAAACTTCACATAATTTATAGAGTATGTATTAACAATTTTCAAGGAGCTTTGTGTAGCAAGCCCCCAGCTGTATTGAATGGTGAGGTCAACTGCCCAAACAACACGTACACATTTGGGGTCATTTGTCCAGTCACTTGCTACAGAGGATACCAGATTCAGGGTAGTACATCTGTCGTATGTCTGTCAAATACAACATGGACTTCACCTGGCTCATGTCGAGGTATACTTATGTATTCAAGAATATAATTTTTCTACAGAATAAACTAGTAAAGAAAATTAGATCTATATATGCAGCAAAAATAATAATTAGAAAAAAAAAGCTATTATTTATTTGGTGAAAAGTCCATAATTAATTATGAAGATAGGTTTTGATTCTGTAGACCTTAAATAATAATTGTTTTTCTTTTACTATACATAAATAGAAATTAAAATCTTTTAAATTGTATTATAAAAATATAATTTGTTTTTAAGACTGATATTGGCAATAAAAAATAATAATACATTTATAAAACACTATATTCCAAAACAATAAAACCTAAAGTTAAAACAGTAATTTAAAAAGTGAAGCATTTTTTTCGTTCAATTACAGATATTGAACCTCCGACCATCATAAGTTGTACCAACGTATCCGTATTTGCTGAACAGTTAGGGTACTCAACATATGTGTCTTTTACTGGGCTGGTTAAAGCAACTGATACCACAAATACAACAATTGATATTAGTTACCTCCCTGCTTCAAATACAGCCTTCAGTATAGGAACAACACAGGTCAAGGCTACAGTATCTGACCTTGCAGGGAATAGAGCATACTGTAATTTTACAGTAACTGTTACAGGTAGTTTAACAGTTCATAACATTTTATTTTTTAAATATTTTTTTTTAGATACCTATACTTCTAGCCAGAAAAAGATAAACAACTGTCTAAATTTGAATTATGACTTTATTTAGGCATATGTAGTGGGTTGATAACCTCCTGTAAATGTTGCATACCCTCAAAGTAAAAATAAGAAAGTACATTTCAATATTCTGATTTGACATGAAACATATATATATATATATATATATATATATATATATATATATATATATATATATATATATATATATATATATATATATATATATATATATATATATATATATATATATGTGTGTGTATATATATACATACATACATACATACATGCAGTGGCGTAGCGAGGTCGAGTGTCACCCGGTGCCGCACTTAATGGTGTCACCCACCCAGAGGCGTTGCGACTCTTCTCGGGGACAAACTTTCAATCTACGATTTGCACCCCCCCTCCCTCGAACTTTCGATTTGCACCCCCCCCCCCTCGACCCTCGAACTTTCGATTTGCAACCCCTCCTCAAATTTTTCTCTATATATTTTTACTATTTTTTGCCTTGGTGTCACCCCCCTAAAGAGTGTCACCTGGTGCGGTTCTCACCCCCGCCCCCTCGTTACGCCTCTGCATACATGCATACAATATATTTATGTTCTTCACCTGTGTTTATTAAAATATAAACTGTTAATTACTTATTTTTAGCCCTACTGTGCCAGAATCCAGCTTACAGTGGTCTGGAAGAAAATGGGACATCTTTAATGGTCTTCAACTGCCCACAAGGTTATGTGTATGGTGCCACATGCAACATAACATGCAGCAACGGCAATGCTGTAACTGGAAGCCCAAGCATTTTCTGCAGGAAAAATGAAACTTTACCTGGGACAGGATACTGGGACTATGGAAATGCTAAACCTGTTTGTGATTGTGTGTAAATTTATTACTTAACACATTAACATATTTATACTGTTGTGAAACAGTTTTAATTTTGGGACAAGACATGAGAAAATATGTATCATATAGATTAAACTTACACTATAACACGTCTTATGGTACATGTTAGTTTTTTTAAGTCATTAAATTAACACTCTTATTAATGTTATTATCATTTCAAATCTTGACACTTAGGCTTAATGGAAGTTCGATTGAAATTTCAATCATCATTTATCAATCAAAAAAGATCCACAATGATCTAGACTCTAGACATTGTGTAAACTGAATTTTACTTAGACATTTTTTTTAATAATAAGCATGAAATATGAAATCATACTACATAAAGCAGTTTAAAACATAATTAATTAATATTCTGACCAGAGAGTAAGTTTGTCTTTATTGTCATGGATATTATTTTCAAAGTTGTTTTCGTTCTGCCTTAGAACTATAATTTGTTTAAAAATTAACAAGATATGCCTTTTTTTCAATATAAATGTTGTTTATAATATTCCAGCAAAATTCTGCAGCAAGCAAGAAGCTCCAACCTTTGGAGCTGTGGCTTGTGATGTCATCAACCAACAAGAAGTGTGTGCAGTACAGTGTAAACAGAACTACACACTTACTGCTGGCTCTCCTCAAAATGGTGTTTACGTTTGCTGGAGAAAAACTGGGGAGTGGCTTCCAAGTATTATTTTAAAAAGTACATGCATTGGTAAGTTTAATCATCTAAGTGTGGATTCTATTTTTCTAAAGTTTATTTTTATAAAAAATATTAAAATTTTAAAGTGATTAATCTAATGCTACCTGCATTTAAATCCTTCATTATCAGTTTAAAATTTAAAATGTGAATAATAATGAATAAAAGATTCAAAATTATGAAAATGATATAATTAAATATTATATAAAGTTACTATAAAAATCAGTAGGCTACATTCAATTAACTTTTTAAATCGTATTATTAACATTAAAAATTATATAATGGTATTCATAGCTTTTGGTCTATCCTGTTTTTAATTTAAACAATCTAATGGTTTGATGATACTGCTAAATTTATTTAAGTAGACACTCTTTATGTTTTTAAAAATAATGGTACAATGTGGAACTTTGAGAAACCAAGAGTAACATTTTTTTTTATACAATAAAAATATTTAATTTTTCAGCTTCATCAACTCCTTACATAGAGACAACACCAAACATCCAGTATTACTCAACTAGCTGTGCGACATCAACAGAAGAAATCAAGACCAAATTTTTCACCTTGATTCAAGGGTCGGATGTGTTTAAAGATGTGTGTACAACAGTAACCTGTAACATAACTGATGTCACAGTGACCTGTGGCTCAAGGAGTAGGCGGTCTGTGGATGATCAAATGATATACACATCATCCAGTAATACTTCAGCCTTAGACAGGGATATAAGGGATACCAGCACCGCAACCCACATGACAAAGGTAACATATTGTTAATTGAGTTATTATTAATTTATCTGATAAAATAAAAATACATTTTTTAATTATTTTGGTAGAATTATTATTAATTATTCATTTATCTAATATAATAATACATTTTTTTAGATTTTTTGTGGAATTTATTATTAATTATTAATTTATCTAATATAATAATAAATTTGTTTAGATTTTTTTGGTCTTATCAATGTTTAAGACTTTAAATTTAAAAATGTTAGGTGTATTATAAAATGAAAAGCAATCTCTTTTAGAGTTGATTAGACAAGTCTATCTGACAAGTTCTTTCAATGATGTTTCATTGTTTTGATCATTTTTATTGGACAATAGCTAAACTTTACACATTTATCTATTATTATTTATATAACTGATTTAGGTTTCTGAAATAATTAAGTTTAAAAAATCTCAGTAACTTAGCAAAATTGTACCATAATGGCAAATCAGTCAAACAAATGGTTAAATTTTTGACACATTTAAAAAGATTCCTCTTCAGTACTACTGATCCATTGGGCAGATCATGTAGTTCATATTTCTGCAATTTGGTATATGAAGGTATGATGTGTTCAGCCCTATGCCCAGCCGCCTTTACTTTTCCCTAATTTGAGTTAGGTACCCATCAGAGCTGGGTGGGCTCAGAGATGTTCAATTGACTCAGGTTCAAATTTGAGATTTTTGGGTTAGCAGTCTAGCACTCTGCAGCTCGGCTACTCCAACCCCTATCACAAGATATTACTCTTTCTTAAAATCTCAGAACATGTTGTTCTATATCATTTAATTCCCTGACCACTGTCTTTGATATCTTTGAGATTGTATTTTTTTTTGTTCTATGTGTTCATGAATTGTTTACAATTCTAAAAAATTTTCTTTTTGAAAAATAAAAAAAATTCTCCACAGAATTCATATTCTTTTAATGCATACCTTAAAATAAAGAGAACAATTTTTTGTTGCAACTAGGTTATGTTCAGAGTAAAGATAGCATATAAAGACCAAGGCAGTGCAGCAAAGACCTTATTGTTCTTTGATAACCTGATTTATGACTTGAACGTCAACCTTGACACAATGACAGCTTCTGGGACCTTCAACATCCCTGAAGCTGGAGAAACCAACCCTTACTCGTATGGCTTTGGGGATATGAACTTTGTCTGCCCAGAAAACACAGTTTTTATTTATCAGACTGCACTCTGTGGTAAGTCAATGCAGCCAGCATAAAATCTTCTTTTACCATAGTTAAGTAAACTAAAACATAAAATATAGTTAAATTAGAAGAAAATGTTCCATACTTCAGCACATGATACATTTTATACCTTACTGCAATAGATTATTAGTTACAATTAACAAGGAAATATTCTAAATAAGCTAACCATTTTACATCTCCTTTTATTAAAAACATAAAACTATAATTTCTCTTCTTATAAAATTGATATTAAGAAAAATTTCATAAAAATGTTCAATTACAAGCTAGAAAGAAAATTTACAACATGTTTACAAAGCCATAAAGAAAATTTAAATTTACAGCATATTTACAAAGCCATAAAGAAAATTTAAATTAACAACATATTTACAAAGTCATAAAAAAAATTTAAATTTACAACATTCAGCTGGTTGCGGCAAAGGCAATATATACAACAGAACTACCAAAACCTGCGCTGCTTGTCCAGCTGGTACCTACCAGCCTAATGATGCGGCCTCAGAATGCTTAAACTGTACGGCAGGCGCAACTACAACTAAAAGTAACTCAACATCAGCTAATGACTGCTTAGGTATGTTTGGAATTATTAGTCAATGTAGGTTATTTATAAATATAAATACCCATAAATGTACACAAAAGCAGTTATTATGAACTATCCTGCTTATGAACATACACATATATATTTATATATATATATATATATTGTGGTAGTATAGTATTTTCTATAGCATTGAATATTTAACCTGAATACAGCATACTTTTGTTAACCCTACACAGACGTGTGCGATGCAGGATCTTATTCATCCACTGGGCTCAAACCATGTGAAGTGTGTACAAGAGGTACATATCAACCTCTTGTGGGCAGGAAAGGGTGCGACACTTGCCCTTTTGGCATGTCAACCCTTGGCTCTGGATCAACTTCTAAAGCTGATTGCAAGTGTAAGAAACACTTTAATATTGATGAGATGAAATGTTTTGTAGCAAAGATCACAATTTCTAACCTAAAGATTTGATTTTGCTGTAAAGGTTATCTTTGAGCTCACTTATCTATGATGCATGCCTGTAAAAGTAGTGCCAAAATTAATATTTTGTCAGAGAATCAGATGAACTCTACATCACACCCCCCCCCCCCCCCCTTGGGTTAATTGGGAATCTTTTTGAATTTCTAACTTACATTGTGTATAGTAAATAAAAATATTCTGGAGCTTGCAAGCAATATTGCAATAAAAAATGTAAATTTAATTTTGAGGTAGTTTTCAAAATTGCTGGTTAAAATGATAGGGTGTTAGTAGTTACCTTGCCATCCTACTAAGACATAGGCCACAAGAAAAAACCTTCAGAGAAATCAATCCTAAGCTAGTTCCTACATCTCATTTTAGTGTGTATTCCTACAAGTCAAATCTTTTGGTTTTCTTGGCCTGCCTTTGTTTTTATCCACCCAGGTTAGGGCCTGTTTTTGTTTATTGTTGTTGGTGTCTGATGTGTGTGGCAAACTGTTCACCACCTTATGGGTTAAGAGAAGAACTTTTTGTTTATTTGGTTTGAAATTTAATACAAAGTTTAAATATTAAAATATTCCCTTTTCTGAAATCAATTTTAAAAAATCAATTGTTTTAGTTTGAAAATTGTTTGTTATCCAAAATGTGTTCAACTACATGATGTTATGTATTTATAAATTATATATGAAATACATGGTTCTTTTCTTTATGTTACTGCAATGATCTTATATTAGTCTATAAACCTACTGAATTCATTAACTACTTGACCCTTGTTTATTAGTATTTTACTTTTACCTTTTTTCCATTGTTATTTAAATTATTTTCAAATTCATATTTCTTGCTGATTTATAGACATTTTACCTTGAAAAGCAGATAATTCTTTTCTTAAAATTATAAAAAGTTTATTATTACATAATTTAGCCAGATCAAATGTGTAGTTTTTTATATTAACATTTTTATACTAGAATACATTTTTAGATAAAACATTATTGCATTTAATATTAACAGTTTATAGTGTTGTTCTGGGCAACACAAGCTTAGAAGTGGACATGGACAAAACCAATGGGCCAATAAAGAACTTTACCATGGTGTTTTGGGCTTACATACCCCAAGACCTTGTTGGCAACACCACTTCAACCTTTACATTAGCGTCAAATGTGGGAGGTGCTATGATAGGATGTAAAGATTTTCTGATTTCAATCGCATCAGAAGAACTTCCAATAAAACGAATAAAAAAGTAAGTTAATGATGAATTTTTAAAAAATATTTCCGATAATATATTAATGCCATTTCCTGTAGATAAAATAATCTTTGGATTACAAAAAAAAATTAAAAAATGAATTTTGTAATGAAGTGGTTGTAAAACCTACTTGTAAAATCTACATTTTTTGTATTAAAAAAGGATGAATTCTGTAATCACGTTTTGTGAACTTATTTGTGAAAAACTATTTCTATATGGCTAGTATTTAGCATAAATAAGAATAACAAGTCTAAAACACTGATATGTCCAGACACAATCCCTTATAACATGTCACAAAAAAATGATATCTCCCCAATCCTATATTTGTTATGAAATTTAAATAAACTTGTGTCTGTAACACAAAGTAAATCATGTATCCACAGGTCCTGGTACCATCTAGCTGTCACCCACTCTGGCAACAAAACATCTCTGTTTGTTGATGGTCAGTTGATTGAGCAGAAGACTACAGCTGGTCTGGTCAATTGCACAGACTTCAAGCTTCTCTTCACTCGTTCTGCCAGAATTCCTGGTTAGTAGGTCTATTCTTATTCAGTGTGTTTGTGTAATACCATTTTATTTTCTCCGTTTGTCTTTGTGTGAAGTATGTTTTTATTCTTTATATGGGCTTTTTATAATTTAGTCAGTATTTTAGCATATTTCAAAAACATTTTGTGTTTTTATTTCGATTATGGGCTTTTTAGTCAGTAGTTTAGCATATTTCAATGGATTTTTATGTTTTTATTCTTAATGTGGTTTTCTTATAATTTAGCCAGTATTTTAGCATATTTCAGTGAATTTTTTTTTTTTAAATTGTGTGCACATTTTATTAATATCTTAACAGTCTATTTTAGTAGCTTGTGGGTTTTTAAAAAAAAATAATTAATAATTTGTTTCAGAACTGACTGTTAGCGGAATGCAATTATCCAGAACAGAGTTGTCTCAAAGCAGTGTAACTTTATTTGCACACTCTTGTGGATTAATTTTGGATGGGAATATTTTCCTGGCTCCAGAAAATACAGCACCACTGTTGACTCCTTCTTTTTGTGATGGTAACCATCTTAATTAAAATTATTGATGATTATCAAATTACAAAATTTTGCCACTTTTATGCCCTATGTTCAACAGATAATAAAAAATGTATTTTGGCTTGAATTTCCAGACAACAATGTCTGCCTCACTAAGCCCTGTGGTGATCATGGCGTGTGCTCAGATTTAGCAAATGGGTTTAAGTGTGAGTGTGATGAGTTATGGACTGGAAACACTTGCCAGGTAATACAGATCAATTTCTGAGTTTACATTATTAAATGTGAAAATATAATGCAGCAAAACAGATTTTTTAGTTTGTTTGTAGTTTTTTTTTTTTTTTGCTACCTTGGTCTTATATGTCAGAAATCATTATTTAAATGAATTTTTAATTTAAATGTCTTTTTTCCACACATTTTAAAATTCTATGTGAAATCGACAAATAATTTAGGGCTTCTATTGCTTTTTAAAAATCTTTGCTTCAAGTTTAGTCTTTGCGTAAAATGGAAAATTTTTTAAATTTTATTTTTGTGTTGTTTAGATTCCACCAGATTTCTGTGTAGGAAATCTATGTCGCAATAAAACAGAGTGTGTGAGTCAAGTATTAAGTAAAAACTACACATGCAGCTGTCAGGAAGGTTATAAGGGACTTTTCTGTACAGACAAAATAGGTAGGCAAATATCTTTATAGTTTTAAGCTACAAATAAACTACATTTTATTGCAAATTAACACAAATATTTTCATTCAATGTCTGTTCTTAACATTCTGCTGATTCTCAGAAAAATAGCTTAAAATATTTGATGTCTAAAATTTTTGGGGTGTAAAATTTCTTTAGTAATCTCTAATTTACAAATGCCATTACAGAAATATAAGAAACAGTTCCACCCCCCCCCCCCTTCTCCTTTATGCATGCATCAATCCCACTTTTCACATGATAAAAGTATTCTGAAGCTTGCAAGCAATATTGTAATAAAAAAAGTAAATTTAATTTTGAGGTATTGTTTTAAAAATTGCTGATTTACAATGTAATATTCAAAACATAGAAAATAATGTTAATATTTAGTTTTTGAATTAGTAAAAAAGCTATTTTAATATGGGAGAAAAATTGCTATAAAAAAAATGCAAAATTCAGATACTGAAATGTTTATTGGGTCCTACATTGAGACCCTGTGTTTTTGTATTTTAATGTTTTCTGTGAAGAGAATTTATGTTAAAATAATTGTCCTTTTGTAATTTACAAATGGCTGTGATATTAGCTTTTTATTAATATTTTTTTTAACTGTATTCCAACATAGCTTTAACATCCCGTAAGGCTATATTTTGACCTAATGTAGAGAATTAGATTACTTTTTTAACAATATCCATAGTCCTTCCCATTTTAATTTTTATCAAAGGTAAGTTAAAAATGTAATCAAACGTGTAGCACAATTATAAAGGAAAATTTCTAAAATCTACTTTACGTTAGTAAATGGTGGATGGGCCAGTTGGACACAGTGGAGTGTATGTCCAGTTACCTGTGGTGGAGGGGTTACATCAAGGTACCGCACCTGCAACAACCCATCACCTGATCCCAGTGGTCTGCCATGCAGTGGTAATGCTAGTGAAACAAAAGCTTGCTATGAGGATCACTGTCCAGGTACTTGTAATCTTGTCCACAGAATGATTCACATTCAAGAACTTAAAGCTAGAAATATATACATAAATAATTCATTTAATGTAAAACATTATTTAATACAGAAAAAAAAAAAAACAAGCACTATTAGGAAATATGTATGTGTAATAAGAAAAAGAAGACTTCTGATTTTATACTTAAAAAAATATATTACATTACAGAATGTTATGACAATAAGAATTTGAAAATTGTAATTTTATTTGTTATATATTCAACAATTAAATTATGATATTTTGATAGCATTAGAAATGTTTTACAATAACTTAACAATCTGTTTTTAATTTTCTAAATCAAACTGCCTTACAATTCCTAATACAGCTTATAATGTGAACCTACAGATGTAAATATTTAGTTTTTGTTTAGTTAACGGTGGACTCAGTGCTTGGAGCGGCTGGTCATGTGATGTGGAGTGTGGCCAGGGAACAGCCTCTAGAACCCGCAGCTGCAACAATCCTGCTCCGTTGTACGGCGGTCTCAATTGTTCTGGCCAGCTTAATGAGACAAAAAGTTGTGACAACATAACAGCTTGTCCAAGTAAATAGAACTATTTGGTTTTAAAAATAATGTGGTGCTTACTTAACAGTTTGCCCTAATATAACATCTAATCAATTTGTATTAATGTGTTTGACAATCTAACACCTTTCAAAAGTAGATTTAAGCACATGAAAGACATCATTCATTTTAAAGTAAATAAAGCTCTAGATAAACCAATTATTTGTTTTCTATTTAAAATTAAAGTTTTTAAATTAATGAAATTTAAACCTACTTTGATTGAATTATTAAAGACTATATTTTTCAGAAGAATAGATAAATTCTTAATGTTATAAGAAAAGAATAAATAATGATCTATGTCTTATTTTAGTAAATGGAGGATTTGGGCCATGGTCAGACTGGTCAACTTGCACTAAGACATGTGGCACAGGTGTCACTACAAGGTACAGGAACTGTGACAGTCCAGAGCCACAATATGGTGGCAACAATTGCAGTGAAACAGGTTTTACTGAGAGCGCTCAGTGCAATAACAATACATGCCCTGGTAAGTTAATATTTTCTTTACTAGTTATCAAGGTATCCGTTTTCTACAAAACGTTAGAATAGATGTGTATGTAAATATTAATTAAAGCTTTCATATTATTTTTAGAGTTAGTAATTTAAAGAAAAAAAAAAGACCTGTTAAAAGATAGTTTCTAGTTATTAACTAGATAATGTTTTTGGAGTATATTTCTATTACCTACCTTACCTAAGATTAAAGTTTACATTTAAAAAAAAATATTGATTTTTGATAATATAAGCAAATTTTGTAATAGGGGAGGGGAGATCCTCTTTATAAAAACTAACATATATACTAAGGTAGAAAAAAATAAATGTAACCTATATCAGAAAGGTTAATGATCTTTTGAATTCTAGATAAAGCAGTACACAGTCTTGTTAGATAAAGTGTTTTATGTTACATTATGAAAGTCAGTTTAAATTATATACACATAAAAGCCTGTGTAGCTTCTAATTTTATCACCTATTACATTTTACCACTTGTTTTGTTCTTTCACAGTGTGCTCAAAGCTGTACAGGCAGACACACATGCAGGATATTGCATGTAAAACAAATACAACAACAGACATGACAGAATGCAAGATTGTATGCATAGCTGGTTATATCACAGACTTATCCATTGTGTACAAGTGTGGACGGCTTTCTAACTATACCTGGTCACACATCACACCTGAAAACCCTAGAGGTCTGCTGCCAGATTGCACAGGTAATTCAATGCCGTTTTGATGAGTAATGTTTTGTTGAATAAGCCTAATACAACAGTCACTAGTAATTCACTAAGGAAAATTTCAAAACAGAACATTACATTTTTTCACTTAACAATTAAAGTTGATTAAAGTGAAATAAGAATTATAAAAAATAACCCCTCAACCAAAAAAATGTAAATTTATGTAACAATAAAAATAACTTGAAAACACAAAACAAAATGAAAATTGGATATAAAAAGATCAATAGCTAGGTATAGTCAAGAAAAGACACCAAACATTTAGCCTTTTAAATAGCCTCTATAATTTAACTCTTTTAAGTTTGTGTATATCACTTTGAAAGCACTTTATTTTAACTTAACAAAGTGTGCATGATGTCTTAAGCTGAAAATAATTCTACCTTTAATTTGAAACATTTAAAAATACAAAAAATATTTAATCATGTAATATGATGCTTTAAATATCTTCCTTCGAGAAATAATTTTAAAAAAAAATTAACTAATTAAAAACATTTATTTTATTTATTTTCAACAAATTCACATCTAATATTTAAGCTGCGGTTTCTGTGACTGAGCGGAGCATAAGTCAAAATGCAGAAATTACAGCACCTACAAGCTCTGGGACAATTGAGACCCAAGTAGCAGAGAATATCAACAAAACCATCAATTCAAGTTGTACAACTTGTGAATTATCTGTAACTTCTAACACATCTAACACTTCCATATCTAGGAAAAAGAAGAGTACAACAGGTACTTATAATTACTTCAACCAGCTACAGTAATCCTTCTTCTTAAGGATGTTGCACTTTTATTTTAACAATCGTGGATAAAAGTGGTTTATTATTTTGTTATAAAGCTTTGCTTGAGTTTGAGGTGGGGGAAAGAAAGGTGGTAAAAAGCTATCTTATACATCACTGCCTTGGATTTTCTTTATTTTCATTTTTCTAAATTTTAGAAACTTTCATAAATTTTATAACTGTCAACTGATTTTTAAAAATAGTTAACACAACTGGCTTACGAATCCTATCATTTAACACACAATATGATCTTGTAGTAGTTCTACATCAAAATGTAGAACATAGTTAGATCAGGACTAGATTTAAAAAATCAAGACAAATTTTCATCTTTGTCTTGAAATCATATTATAATAATAACTTTACTAATGTACTTGATTAGATTAAAAAATACATTTAAATATAATATTGAAGAGCATGAGTAGCATTGATGAATATTTTTACTCAGGTTTTAACCTGTTTTACTGAATGAAAAAAATCATTATGCATATACTTCTGTTCCAATACCCCATCTCTAATTATTAAAGTTAAGAAAAAGTGTGTATAAACATTTAGCGCAGAAACATTACAAGCCTTCCTCTCATACATTCATTTAAAGTGTTCAGCATTTAACATGAAATTACAATTTTTCAAATAAAAAAGGCATAATTACATTTGTTTTCTTCTGCAGGTAAATTTATAATCAGCTACACTATGTATGTTCGATCACCTTTAATAGAATCCACAACAGCAACAGGTTAGTTATTACATAAAATTGTAGGCCAATAATTTAATACTGAAATTTAAACCTTGTAATGTTAACTAAAAGTTCTATATCCTCTTATAATTCATAGATATTTACCATTTTAGTTAAACTAAAAAAAAACAAAAAAAATAAATAAAATAATGGCATACTATAATGCGATTCATTTGAATCATCTTTGTATGTTATTATGAGACCAAATATTTTTCAACATTCTTTGGCAGGTTTAAAAATGGGCTTATAAAAAATATTGCATTAAAAATGGTCACTGATAATTTTCTAGAATAACTGATTTACATAAATAAAAATAAATTTACAATCAAACACAGATGACGAGACCGAACTAGTCAGGCAGAAACTTCTTGAATTTGAGCAAGTTGCTCAGCTGATCTACAATAACTCTGCCAACATCTTCACTGTTATGGTAGATGGCATTGAATATAGAGGAAAAGTAAACAGTACAGTTGCTGTGTCAGAAAAATGCCCAGAGGGCACTACTTTGCTTCTTGCAGTGTGTGGTTAGTCTTTTTAATACAATATACAGCTTTATAAATAAGTAGTAAGCTAAAGAATATTTTTTAATATTTAGATCATTTGATGACAGAGTTTTGCATTATTTTCTGGTCTATAGTATATTTAATCTCTTGGTAAAAATATTAGATTAAAAGGCAGCATAAAAACCAGTTGATAATTACTTAATAAGCAGAAGTCACCATATAGAATACACCAAAGGAAAGTTCTATTTCAAATTTACTAATGGAAACAGTTGATAAAATAATGATTACAATTATGAAGTTAATAAATAAGTATTTTATTAAAAATTGTGGAATTTTTAATAGCTCTGTAAATCCTACCTATTAGTGTGATTGAAATGGTTGATATGCTAAATTCTCATAATAATGATAAATATGTTTTAAAGTCAGCTGAAAGACAATCATTGTTTACATGTAAGTTAACTAAATAATGGGACATGCCCAATTAAAAGTAATATTTTTATAAGACCTTATTTATTGAGATGCTGACATATTGTTATGTTGATTATATCATCTTCTTAAAACTAATTAGTTAAATGCTGACTAAAGAGTTTAAGGTTTGGTTAGTGATAAATTAGGTTTAAACTTTAATTTTAAGGAACAGCAAGACTTTTACAATTTGATTTATATATATGTGTTTTATGGTTCCAGGAAAAATGTGCAATCAGAAAACTGTGCAACAGAAAAATACACAAATACAAATGAATGATACTAATACACTTTAATTTTGTCTTATTTCATGAATATATGTTTCATTATTCTACAGTGTAGCCTACATGTAGTCACTCAATTTAAGAAAAAAAATGTCCTTGTGCACTTTTTTTGTGCACTGTTTTCCCTAACTGTGTTTTAATCATTGAGCTAAGAATAAATGAGTTTTATTTTCTCACAGCTTGCACCATTTTCCTGTTACTGTGTTTTATTCATTGAGCTAAGAATAAATGACATATTTTTATTTTCTCACAGCATACTGTGTCCCTGGGAGTTACTGGAAAAATGACCAATGCCTGTTGTGTCCTATTGGGACATACCAGGAGCAGTTTGGGATGACCTACTGTGAATCTTGCCCAGCAGGTAGATCCCTAGACTGGATATTCTTTCTTATAATTATCTGATAAAATAATAGCTGAAACAATTAACATTTTAATATGCAAGTTTTTAAATAATCCCAAGAAACAGACCTTTAGTGCCAATGATATTATATCTAACTTTAGCATTACATTGTAGTCCCATCAGATAATTATGGTTTATCGAGAAACATTTTAAGATTTATTTGATGTTGCTTTATTTTTAAGAGAGCATGTTGTGTAGTATGACTGTGTAAGTTTAAAAGTAACCAGCTTTGTGCACATTTTAAAAAATTACTACCACAGCAAACATAATTTGTTTTTTTAAATTGTGTATGTTCAGGGACATCAACAGCTGGTCTGGGGTCTCAGTCTATCACTCACTGCGTTGATGATCCATCCATCTACTATGATTGTTCCTTAGGATACTGGGCTGATGATGAGAATGGGCCTTGCAAAGAGAAACAGGGCTTGCCAAATGAGAACTTAGGCTAGTATTTTGTTTCAAAATTTGTATAATAAATTTCAGGTAATTCTTTTTTTTTTAAAATACTTAAATGTAAAAAGAAATATCTAGCAAGTTTTGTTCAATACAATGTTAATTTACATTGTAATTATTATGACAAAGTGAATATTTGATTTAGCTGTGATTTAAATTTAAGTTTAAAAATTCTTTCCTTTTTTTCTAATAGGGTTAATTGTTGGCTCAACATTAGGTGGAACAGCAATAATAGTACTTTTAATCCTTGCATTTATGTTCCGTAAAGCAATTTTAAGGTAGGTCTAAAAGTAATATTACAACATTTAATATAAAGAAAATAATGTGGATCTTAGGGTTAGGGTTAAAAGATTTTTTAATGTGTAGCCATTTATGTTTTCAATCTTGGATAAATGTGTACCATTTAATTGGTTTTAGCTCTTTTTAAAAATTTTTTTTGCTTAGTTACCAAAAATATCAATTATATTCAATCTTTAGTAATGTCCAACAGAAATCAAACAGCCAGATTGTTATAACCATATTTATTTTATTAACATAGTACATGATTTTCTAAAGTATTTAATGGGCTTTTGAATAATTTTGAAACTATTCTCGGTTGAGTCCATAACTCTGATAGATACCTGCTTGAGTTGGGGATAGAAAAAGCAGTTGTAATAGTTATTTGTTTTGGCCTAAGTCATTATCCCCTTGTTAATTACCTACAACACTACTCTAGAGAAAATTACCGCCTGGGTAATTAATAATTAATTACAAGGGGGAGGGGTGACACCATGACATAACTAACTAAGTATAGAGAAAACAATGCTATATCTAACAATATTATTAACAGACACCCAGCATAGTGACACCACTGCCTATGCTATAAAGGCCTACAAAAAATCCTATTTTATAAACAAGAATAAAGACAAACAATAAAGAACTTACATTTTCTGAAGTGTTTTTTTTTTTTTTAATTTCTAACCCTAAACCCAAGCTGTAAATATATTTACTTAAATATGCATTTAAAATTACCATTTTTAACTATTTCAACTATCAAGTTTAAAAAAAAATATTTTCAGCAAATTTCAAACCCAGGTCATTCCAGACAAACCTCCTCCATACTCATTTCTAGAGCAACCTCCTCCCTACTTTGTCAAAAGACCATCAGAGGAAATACATCTAGATAAGTCTCCAAGACCTTTAACATCACAAGATGTTGTTTTAACTGACATCTAAAACATGTGGAATGTAATCATTAATGAATGCTTTGAACAAATGCTAATTTAAATTAGAATGAAACTGTTACATTAGGTTCAAACAATAATAGATTTAGAAAAAAAATTTTATAAGAGTTTTAGGATTGGGTTTATCAGCTTGAAAGCAATATCTAGTAATGAAAACAAAAAGATCTTACTGTATGCCGTTTTTTATTTGAGTAATTTTCACTAGGAAACAAAATTGATATTGTTACTGATCAAACAAAAATGCTGAACGTAAAATTATTATGAATTGTTACAAAATAACACTTGAGATTTTTAAAAATCCTTGTACACCACTTTTTAACAAACATTGTATTTACTTTTATTTTAATAGGCATATATCATCATAAACTATGTTTAAATCTTAAACTAAAGCTGTTTATACAGTAATGCCTTTTTAAAAAAAATTCCTATTGTAGAAAATGCTTACTTTGAAAACTCAATATTATCTAATTATTTACCCATACAATTCGTAAATATATTTAACTTCAAATAAACTTGAATGTTGATGTTGTTATTTAGCTTGACATGAATCATTAGTTCACTTTTTATGAATTTTTACCCTATATAATGAAATTGTTATAATTGTATTTTTAAACTTAGTTCAAAATTTACTTTCCAATAGTTGTAACCAAATTAGTTACTTAAAAACGTTTCGGGAACTGGCCCAAGGTGTTTTGCCAACAAAGTAAAGTCAGTCGAATATGTTACCCATAGGTTAGTTAGGCCTATATAGCTCACCTCGTCTCGCTAACGGCACATCGGCAGGTACATGAGAAATGTACTCACTAGTCTGTAATTTTTTAATCACCGACTTAAATTACTCTATTACTTTCTCCATTTTCTTCCTGGAAGAAACTCTGGTAATCCATCTAAGAGAGAAAACTCGAAAATCAAACAAATGCTACCTTGTAGTTTGTTCTTGTGAGCAAATCCAAAAAATTATATATATACGATCTGACCCGCGACGTAGTATACGCCATGTAGTTGTTTTATTTTCTGCTTATCAGCAATTCACAATTTGTGAATTCAACACTACCCCCTCCCCCCTCCCGCCCTCCCTTTCCACTCACCCCACCCGCCCATTAAAAGCAGCCGTTTACAGACAAAGAAAAGATCAATCAGAAATTGTTACCTCCCCTTCGTTTCAAATCGTTTAATACTAAATTATCTGCCCCTATTAATAGCCGTCACTAACCCGGCTCTACGATTGTAAACATTCGGGGTGAACAACAGCTCACCTGACAGGTGGGGATGAGGGTGATGGCTAAGCTGCGTGGTGTTTTCTATGGTCTCTAAGAAGATAATTATATATATAGATATATAAATTCATAGAGACATTGTAATTCCAGCGTCCAGAAAGACTTGAACTGCGTTTGTAGCGTAGTAATTTAAAGATACTTTTATCTGTCTATTGTGTTATAGTACTTATTTTGCGTTTTCTGAATTAGTTATATATAATTATTGAAAGTTTAACATTGTTTGCTTGTTATATAATAATATATATTATACTACCGGGTTTCCTAGTTAGCTGCTGACCCCCTTCAATTTATATTTTTACCAGCCGCTAATGCGATCACACACAAACACACACACGCGCATATATATATATATATATATATATATATATATATATATATATATATATATATATATATATATATATATATATATATATATATATATATATATAATGTAAGTAGCCTTTTCCATATGCAAATTATATCCATCCCGAGATAACAAACCATGCAAGAAATTGCATTTGTCAAACCAAAAGTATATAAACATGAAAGCTTGATTTTTTAAAATGGTTTCCTTCGTTGTTTATTTTTATGATTTTTTTGTGAGTATATTATTAATTTTGAATACATTTCCTTTTAATTATAAACTTAGCCAATTTATATTAAGTCTTATTTGAAATATAATTAAGAGAAACAATCAAGGTCACATAAAAACTCATTTTCTGAAAAAAAAATACATTAATTTTTTTGTCGGATTTTTACCTCAAAAAGGCCTATACCCCGATGGAAGTTTCGCCCCTGACGCTGTTTCGTTTTATTAACGTGTTGTCATGACCCAGTACATTTTTTTTAAATGCTCGAGTTTGTCTCATTGAAACACATGACAGGCGCCATGGGAGCAGCTTAGACGTTAGATGGTCGCGGTCTCGTCAGTTATTTTCTTTTCAAGTTTTTTTTTGTTCTCATATTAATTTCTTGTTGTTCTGGTATGAACAATCATTGGATTACCCATAAAAGCAGCAATGCTATGGTGGAAAGCATCAAAGATTTTTATATCATGTTTAACGTCTAATTCTTAATTCTTAATTCTTACCTTAAAACCAGCGTATCGGACAAATAAAAATTACAAATAAAAAGTGCACAATAAACATAAATAATTCATTGCTTTATTTATACCGAAGCATATTTAGCAAAATAAAAATAATTTAACTATATTTGACAACGAAACTTTGTAAAAAAAAAAAAGCGAAAACCAGGCCTTGTCTTTATTGGAAGACATGATTACCAAGGCAACAATAGAGAAAAGTGGGTCAAACGACAGCCTACTAAAAGTTCGTTCTGCAAAGAAACTGAGGTAGAAAGTATTTTAATCGAACCTGTCGTGTTTTTTGTCGACCCTAGAAGGTAATTTGATACGTTAAATTCAACTTTTAAACATAATAATATTTGGGTAATTATTATTTTTATTAAAAAAATTTCAATTGATAAAAATATTAGTTCACTCACCTGTAAATAAAACTAAATATGTTTTTAAAAAATGAAGCTATAGAAAATAAATATATATTTTCATAATTTCGGTTTAAAAAAAGTGATATAACGTATAAAATGTGAATAATGTAATTACTTCATTTATATTAGTTTTTGTAAATGTTTTTTTGTAATTTATAAAACTATTCAAAACATTATAAAAACACATTATTTGATACATTTTTAAAAAGTAAATAATTAATAACATAATGCAAAAAAATACAAGTGGCAGATTTTTAAACATTAAAAGTAAAAGTGTTGCAGCATTGGCAGTATTTTCTAATTATATTTATACACACACAGACTTATATATATATATATATATATATATATATATATATATATATATATATATATATATATATATATATATATATATATATATTTATATCTAATATATAAAGCTCAGTTCTGTATGTAATGCATGTTTGTCGTTGGAATTGTATGAATTTAAAGTTAGAAAATTATCGTGCGCATTTGTCTAAATTTATGAGCTAAAAAATTACTATTGAAAGTGTTGGGAAATAATTTTCATTTTTCAAATTATAGTAATAATTGTCGGCATGTTCATTAAACACAAGTTTTAAAAAAAATATCATCTTTTACAAAAATTCTAATTATGTCTTTATTTAGTCCTATAGCACTTACTTCCCTTTGATAAATTAGGGAAAACAAAATTACTTCCCTTTATAAAACCATTGCATTAGTCGAAAATAATTTACTTTTTAATTACTTTGTTTTGGTGTTGGGAAAAAAAAATAATTACATAATTAGCGGGGATTGATCAAGTGCAAATGTTGTAGGTATTTTACGGATAAGCTTGGAGTATTATAATTGTTCATCAAATTGAAACAGGCGCGTTCGTTTAAGTGAGTGCAAAAGACTATGAATAAGTTGGGGTACTATAGTCGTTCATTAAGCTAAAACAGGTGATTCCGCCCCAGGCGTTTATGTTCGCGTTAGTGTTTTCTTTGTGTTTAGGTGGGTTTGCGTTAGTGGTTGCGTTTTGATTTGGTTCGTTTTTGTTCTTTCTTTTTTCGTTTTTGTTTGTGTTTTTTTGTTTGGGTTTGTATTTGTGTTTTTGGTTGGTTTTGCGTTTCGATTTGGTTTGTTTTCGTTTGCTTTTTCGTTCTTTTTTTTTTGTTGGTATTGGTGTTTGTGGTTGGGTTTGTTGTTAGGTTTTTGTTTTCGTTTGCTTTTTTGTTTGTTTTTTCTTTGTGTTTGTATTGGTGTTTGTGGTTGTGGTTGGGTTTGTTGTTAGGTTTTTGTTTTCGTTTGTATTTGTAATTGTGTTAGCGTTATGTTTGCGTTTTGTTGTTTTGGTTGGTTGTGGTTTGGGTGGGCAATGCCGGGTTTATGATGATTACTAAACACACAGGTAATGGTCTTTAACAGAAAGGTTTTTCACAGAAGCCAGAGCAGGGCCTGGCCGGGACGGCTAGTATATATATATATATATATATATATAAATAAATATATATATATATATATATATATATATATATGCCTACATATAAATACAATTCTTTCTATTAGAATAACTTTAAATAAATACAATATAAATGGCGTTACGAGGCTTGGGCAGTATTATTGGCAGTTTTGAATTTTTAGCGGTCATTTGAGTACAGAATGGGAAGTTCGTCTGTTTCCCTGACGACATGTGACAGCCCTTAGATTTTTGTTGTTTACGCTATTCAAGACAGGTACGCAATACAGCTGAATAGAATCAAAGAGGTAGGGTACTTTAGACTACTTTGGCTAGTAGTTTAAATTTGAGAAATTCGGGTTGGAAATATGGTGCTGTCTAGCACCAGGTAAAACAAAGATTGAAAACTAGGACTCAGCCTTTTCCCATTACTAAACTGAATTCCGAGTCTTTTGCAAACACTGTTTAAACAAATGCAAAAACTTGGTTAAACATTTTAAAAATGATCCTCACGTGTATACAATTGTTTGTCTAATTAACATATCAATCAGCAGGTAGATTTAATTAAGGCATGCAACGCTACAGATGATATATTTAACGACTACTCGACTTATATGTTTTCCCAACGTCCACATCAACACTAAAATCATCTGCGGTAGGTTCATATCTTCCTGAAGATTAATATGACAATTTTCATGTATTAGAATGTATTAAGGATTTTTTTTTAAATGAATGCAATTTATATAAAAAGTACAAAGTTAACAAACCATAAATAAGCTTCAACGTAAAATTGGAAGATAGTTATGAAAAGTATAAACTTTAACTTAAATGAGAAGAAGCTTACGAAAAGTATGACCTTAGCAAACAAGAACTATACTTTGACTTCAAATTTGAAGAAACTTACGAAAAGTATTAACTTTAACTTAAATGAGAAGAAACTTACGAAAAGTATGACCTTAGCAAACAAGAAATAAAATGTAACTGGAAGCAACTTACGACGTTTGGTAGACAATGGTCGAACTTTGACACAGTCCCATCTAAGGCCATACTTGTATCGTGTGCGCCTGTCAATGTTAGAACAATGACGAGTTGATGAATAAAATTTAAACCGAAATATATATAATGTCCAAAGTTAGTTTTTGATGCTTACACTACACAGTTTATTTATTTAATATTTCTAAACAGCTAAATTTTTATACCCACGCAGCGAAAATCCTGTTCATTAAATATTTTTAAACAGCTAAAAATGTTATACTCACACAGAAAACAGCCTATTCATTTAGTATTTTTAAACAGCTAAATCGCCTATTCTCAAACAGCAAATAACTAGTGCATTAAATTTCTCTAAACAACTAAAGTTTTTATACTCACACAGCAAACAGCCTGTTCTTCTGAGGTACCAAAACACCTTTAGAGTTCTTCTGGTTAATGAAAACTGAAAATGGACAGTAACGGCAAGTTTACATCGAAATGCAATGAATTAGTTACTAATGTTTTTCTTACATGAGTTTAGTGTTAGGGAGAAATATTCTTTGAGCTAATACATTAATAACATAAGAACGTTATGCCGTTGTTATCGCGTGGTACCTGTGTGCTTCAAGACAGACTTTTTTCTCCGAAGGGGGGGGGGGGGGCACTAGATATTTCCGGGGGTGGACTACATTTTCCGGGGGGGGGGCACACAAATAAAACTATGTTTTCTTAATAAGTACCATTTCGTTCAAAGGGGCTGTAGACGTTCTTCGGGGAGCGGGGGGGGGGGGGGGGGTACCCTTCCCCCCCCCCCCCCCGAAGAGAAGAGATGCCTGGGAAAATACTCTGGTATCCGTTTTAGCTATGCTGTCTGGTTTTTTTTTTGTTTTCACTCACCTGGCCGTGTGGTGGTCAAGACAGCGATGGCGGATTCCTCTGTTAGTGGGTCACCTTTCACAGGCCTGGAAAATGTCTGTTCAAATTCAGGTGTGTCTGTTGAGAAAAGGGACACACATTATTTAAGAAGTGTCTGTTGGGAAGAGATAACTTCACATGGGACACACATTATTTAAGAAGTGCATGTGTGAGATTAGTTGTGTTCGAACTGGCCGAAAATTGTATCGCAACTTCTTTTGAAATTTAGTTTTCACAGTTCAATTTTAACATCAAATTGTCTTCGTCTTTCGTGAATTAAGTAGAAGTGTTTTGGTATTTAAAATATTTTTAATGTAGACATATAATATTTGCATAATATGTCGGCAATAGGCTTAATGCAGGCGAAATATATAATAATTATTACAATTGACTACATTATTTAACAAACAAAAGTACACGTATTTAAGACTAACTTATTGCTAACACTAATGTAATTTTTAAAAAATGGCACACTAACCTATGTGGGGACAGTTAACCCGACAGTTTATTGTAAGGAAGCTGAAAGATATGTATGAATATCAGTAACGTTGTAATATAATACATACAAAACAAATGACTAAATACACGATAACCAGAACAGTAGTAGGCTTAATACATATTTCTGTTTAATGGAAACACATTAAGATAGCAGGGGAATAAACTTTATAATCAAAGTAGATTTAAAGTAAACTATAGATTTAAATAATTTAAATAATAATTTCTAATAATTAATGTAATTGCATTGCAATATTTATTTAAGAATTTTTGTGACAAAAATGAACTTACTCATTTTTCATCCTCTCCGCCATGTATTTCTCTTGTATTTCATTTTGAACTTTGTAAAGTTGCTGTTTTTTATCCGATGCGATTTTCTTCACTACAAATTACAATAACACAGAAAATAATACATGTATGCATTTAATTACTGAAATTTCAAATGCTTCCACCCCCTCCCTTCCGGAGAAAAAAGTCTGCAAGAAACACTGATTTCAAGCTATTAGGTACAACACTGCTTTGATCTCAGGAACAAGACATCAAAACAAATTCCTACGGAATTTAACTGTGTGCACTTACATTCTTCTACAAATTTAGGAACAAAACATCAAAATAAATTATTACAGAATGCGGCACATATTATCTTTTTTATAAAATGACAACGTTTGCTTAAATTTCTCTGAAAACTCCAGTAAGAAACCATAAAAACAAAGGTTTATATAACGGTGCATAAATATTTCTAATCTCACAGCGTTTGCTTAAATTCTACTTCTTATAACAAATAAGAAATAAAAAATCAATTATTTACAGAAAGTGCGCCTTAACACTGTTTGTCTAAATTCTATTTATCAAAATAGAAACAACATAAAAACAAAGTGTTACACCCTTTTGTTAAAATTCTACCAAACCTACGACACAGAGCATACATCTATTAAAAGAAAACCTTACAAAAGGGCGCCATAATACCTTTAGTTAAATTCTACCAAACCTACGACACAGAGCATACAATTATTAAAAGAATTCCTTACAAAAGGGCGCCCTACGCTCCTGGTTGAGCCGCAGCTTCAGCAGAGGGAAGAACAGGCCAAAAAATATGGGGGGCGGGAACAGTGTGTTGTGATAGCGTAGTGTAGTGATCAGGGCGTGGCGCTTCCAGACACCGTCAGCCTTCTGCTCGATACGCTTGATTTCATTGCTAGGTCAGAGCAGAGCAGAGCAGGTTATAGATTTTCTAGGTAAGTCTTTACTCTCTCACACACGCACACATACAAACACACACACACATGCGAGCAGAGCAGACAGATTATATATTTTCTAGGTAAGTCTTTACTGACACACACACACACACACTGTCACACACAGACACACACACACACACACACACTCATAAACATATATATTCATACACACTCACACGCACTTATACACAAACTCACTATGATTACACGATTTATCTGATACCACACACAAATACATACACTTACATATATAATAATTCAACAAACAATCATGATTTTGTTGGAGTGTTTAGTTGATGTGTATGTGTGTTTGTTTGCGTGTGTGAGTTTCATTTTGTCTTTAATATTATTGAGTTTGAAGGGTCGCAGAATTTGTTCTCACTAAGGAAGAAAAAACATTCTATGGCTACATAAACATAAACAACATCTTACAATTACACACATCTCTCAAGACCATTTAAAAAATACATTACTTGAAGACAGCGATCAGCAGGTTGAAGAGCAGAACGTTTACAGTAAGAAAGTAGAGCCCCAGCAATACAGGCCCGAAGAACCTCCCCGTCCCCGTGGGGCATCTCAGCTGTGAGTAGTCAGAATACTCCGTAGGGTCGTTGGTGCAGGTGGGCGGGTCTGTGGGGGAGATGTAGGATTTAACAACATAGATGGGCGGGTCTGTGTGGGGAGACGTAGTATTTAACAACATAGGTGGGCGGCATACTCTACACGTGATGGTTAGGTTTCCGCAAAAATTAATTGACTGTGCGGCGTCTTACGTATAAAGTGAAGGTATCAATATATACTTACAGAGAGACAGAGAGACACACAGAGAGAGCTAAGGAGACAGAGGGAAGAAGAAAATACCTTTGAATAATATACAGTGACACTAAACTATGTTCGTGCCATTTCTTAATATTGGAATAGTATTTCAACCAATATAATAATATATGGTATACGATAAACTAAATTTTGCTTTTTTTTTTTTACCAAACGGTCCATGGCGATAGAGAAGTAGAGTTCACCTGTTTCTGTGACCGGTGCATATGAAGGGATAGTGGGGTCAGCACTATGCTAAGCCGCCTTTCCTTTCCCGATTTACCCATCAGAGCTGGGTGAACTCAGATACATTATATTGACTTAAACCCAGATTCGAACTCGAGATTTTCGGGTTAGCAGTCTAGCGCTCTACAGCTAGGCCACGTCGTCCCGTTTACTAAATCAACTAAATACTTAATTAATCTGAGAGTAATATTAAAATCTCACAGTTGAGACGTGCTAAAATGTCAATTTTCCTTACACAAAATCAAGTCATATAGACGTATTTACCAATGTCCCCCTCCTGACTTTCCAGCTCGTCCAGCAGAAATTCACCAAACATTCCCCAGAATGCCCTGCGTGTGAGGTAGTAAGCAAGCTGGGGGTTGAGGGGAGCCCGGGGGTAGAGGACCGACTCGGAGGCCACGGCGTAGGAGATGAAAAAGACGAAGATGATCACAAGGAACTTGAGGAGCTTTAGAAGCTGTTGGTGGATAAAAAAAATAGTCTATTAGGTAAGATCATTCCATCAGTAAAGATATTAGCATACATACATTACACACACTAAAAATAAATAAAAAATAAATACGTGTATACATATTATATATATATATATATATATATATATATATATATATATATATATATATATATATATATATATATATATATATATATATATATATATATCACAAATTGGGTTGAGCATGTGGATGTGACTAACCATATTTTTAAACATCGCCATGAGTGGTCCGAAAAATTCATTAGAGTAACAAATCTGCAGTAGCTGTATGGAGAACCCGATGTAAGAAAGGCCCAAAGCGACGTGGGTGTAGTTGATCAGCGTCTCACTAGTAGGGTTGTTGAAGGCAGCTATACGGAGTCCAGCCCCAACACAGTACAAGCCTAAGGATATCAGTTCCACGACGAAAAACAGTTCATTCCATTTAAAGACTGGATTGTTCCACCACTAGCATGAAACGAAATACGACAGTAAAGTTAGTAAAGTATGTACATATGCATATTGGTAAAATAAACTTTTTTAACGTGTATTTTAAGTTGAATTAAAGTATGGTAAAAATTTGCATCTTAATTTGTATTAAAGTATGGTAAACATTTAAAACTGAGAGCAAGGGCACACTCATGCAACTTTTCTTGCACTCTTGGATTGTTTGTTCATTTCTTAATTCAGATAAAAAAGAAAACTTAAATGAGAAAAAAATTTAAAGTTTAAAATTTGTTTATTACCCTGTATGTGAAAAAATAATTATAATTTTCCAATATTACACGTTCGATACGAAATGTTTGACATCCGCCATCCGGCATGATTGGAAAGCTGGATTTCTCCGTTTTCCGTTAATTTTAATATAGCTGATTAACGTTCTCCAGAATAAAGGTAACTATGCCCAGATATTGCAGGTTAAGTGCCTTTAGAATAAAGGTAACTATATACATACATACCTTGTTGATTCCTCCAAAATAAAGGTAACTATCTACATACATACCTGGTTAACGTCCTCCAGAATAAAGGTAACTATCTACATACATACCTTGTTGATTCCTCCAAAATAAAGGTAAATATCTACACACATACCTGGTTAACGTCCTCCAGAATAAAGGTAACTATCTTCATACATACCTGATTAACGTCCTCTAGAATAAAGGTAACTATCTACACACATACCTGGTTACCGTCCTCCAGAATAAAGGTAACTATCCATATCAGCACCAGCAGTTCGAGCCAATGAAATTCACCTGCTTGCAGTACTGATGCCAGTAAAATGGCATAGAGCATCAGAAACACTACCTGCCCGAGCTGAAGGAGTTTTGATAAAGATTTGATAGTCAACACGAAACATCAGAAATATTGTTGAAATCTTAGACAATCATAAGAGAATCGAAAATTCTTTAATTTACAATCACATATTAATTTTCGTTTTGTTACATTAGTATCATGTATTTTACTTTCACTTACTAAATAGAAACACATCTACGACGTATTAAAATATGTTTAAGCCCATACTATTGTTCACTGTCCTAGTATTTAACGTTTTGTCTTACATTGGACAAATCAATTCGTTTCAAGATACTTATTTCAGTGTTAAACATAAATTATTTATTATTATTCGATATTATTACAAAAAAAATATTTAAATACAATTTTCTCAAGCTGATAAGCTAGTACAATGATATTATTCACTCCTTTCAACAATATATACACATTTTAATAATGTATATCAAATTATTGAGAATGTAAGACAATTTTTATATTTATTTAGTTTTTAAATTTACTGCCAAATAGTCTATGTACCAACTTGTAAATAAAAAAACCTATCGATCCACTTACGAGATGAATGAGTACCATAACTGACGGAGCGAGCAGTTTTCTCAAAATCGGGACATATTTCTTCGTGTGGCAGAAACAGAACACAGTTGACCTGTATCAATTTAAAGGATGGATGTCAAACGTATCTTTCCTCAATCTGTAGTTTGGTTATAATAGGTTAAAAAATGACATAATTCTTCTCTTCGTTCCATGATAATCGTAATTTTTATGTTTGGTATTTTCGCACTAACCATGTATTAGAGCTAAGCGTTTATTTGAAAAGTTTAAAAAATAATGAATACGAGCCGGCCCGCGGCATAACATACGCCGCTATTTAGTTGTTGTTTTTTCTACTTTTCAGTAATTCATAATTTGTTAATTCGACGGTACCAACGCTGCCACTGAAAATATTTATTTAAAACACTATAAGTAGCACGTTAAGGACAATAACCCCCCCCCCTTCCTCCCCCCCCCTTTCATCCCCTCCCCCCACGTTTAAAATCGTTTCAAACTAAATTATCTGCCCCTAATAGTCGTCACTAAACCCAGCTCTGCTTGTAAACATTTAGAGTGAACACAGCTCACTAAGACCATGTAGGGGTGGGGGTGGTAGGGAGCGCGTTTACAGCTTGTTTTCTAGCGTCTCACAGAAGAGAATTATATATATAGATATTTTCTCGGCGTGAAAGTCATTTTTAGAAATAACGGGATAATAAAGGTGAACTTACAGCATGATTTTCACAAGAGGCGTTTCTTCATCGCATTCATCACAAACCTATTTGAAAGTAAAACCACATTACGTGTGTTAGATACATTGGGTTAGTTAAGTCACGAACATAATTAACATAATAGGCCAAAAAGGCTAATCAGAGTCTTAACGTGCAACGATTTTAAATTGTATTGCTTTATGAATGAAAACTGGCGAATGCTTGCTACTCTCGAAAAAGTAATAAACAAATTAGTGTTGGTTTTTTTAATCATTGTATTTCTATTTAATTTGACATTATTAAATGTGAATTAATCTTAATTTTTTGAAAAGCTTTTGAAAGCTTTCTAACTAAAAGTTTATAATTCAATTATTTGAGAGTTGAACATAAACTAACGCTAACCCGACAATGTGAAGCCTCATGGAATCTCTTGACAGGTTCCACTTGACCAATTCTCCCCTGACCCTCGCTCGTCCCCTGGGTGTCGGTATCGTCGTCCATGTGCCACATACACTCGTCAGTGTCCGTGGTCCCCCAGTACCACAGCCTGTTGTTGAGTTCCAGACACGGCTCCGTGCTGACGAAGGACAGGTTGTAGTTGGTTATGGCCAGGTAGATGCAGCTAGTGTGGCCCCACTCTGGTACTACCCCCATTAACAGGTCAAAGATGTACTCAGGGTAAACGGTGTACGTTCTGTTGATAGTGTCGCAGGCTAGACCCTCAAATGTGCTGAAAGATGGTCATAGGCTGGGTACTAAAATATGCTGAAAGATGATCATATGCTGGGTACTAAAATATGCTGAAAGGTGATCATAGGCTGGGTACTTAAATATGCTGAAAGATGATCATAGGCTGGGTACTAACATATGCTGAAAGATGATCATAGGCTGGGTACTAAAATGTGCTGAAAGTTTATCATAGGCTAGGTACTAGCATATGCTGAAAGATAATCATAGGCTGGATACTTAAATATGCTGAAAGATGATTATAGGCTGGGTACTAATATATGCTGAAAGGTGATTATAGGCTGGGTACTAATTTATGCTGAAAGATGATCATAGGCTGGGTACTAATATTTGCTGAAAGGTGATCATAGGCTGGGTACTAATATATGCTGAAAGATGTTCATAGGCTGGGTACTTAAATATACTGAAAAATTATATTATCATAGGCTAGCCACGCAAATCTGCTGAAAGATGATCATAGGCTAGGTACATAAATTGGCTGAAGGATGCATTTTTCATAGGTAGGCTAGCTAGTTACTCAAATGTGTTGAAAGTTAATTAAAGGCTAAAAGATAACCATAGACTAGGTACTCAAATATGCTGAAAGATGATCACAAGCTGGATATTCAAATGTACTTTAATCATAGATGCGATCATAGACTAGACACTTAAATGTGATAAAATGAGACATTGGCAAAGTACTCAGATGTAATGACAAATCGTTCAACAATACGTTTTAAGATAGCAACAAATGTATGTCAAGATAAGTTCTTGTCTACTATATTTTATCAGACTTCTACTAAAGTAAATATCCTAAAAACGTTAAAATATATTACTTATTCAAATATGTATAATAGAAAACATGACTAAGAGCAGAGTTTCTTCCAGGCATCTCTTCGGGGGGGCGAAGCCCCCCCGAGAATTTTTTACCGCCCCCCCCGAACGAAATGAAATTTATATCATTTATATAGAAAATATATACTTTTAACAGTGTCCGCCCCCCCGAAGAAAGTTTACCGCCCCCCCGAAGATTTCAAGTGCCCCCCCGGAGAGAAAAGTCTGGAAGAAACACTGACTAAGAGACGCTCTCATATATATGCATTAAATTAATGATAAAAAAATCCTTTTGGAATCGACGTACAACTTACACAACAACACGGATATCGAATATAAACATACATTTACCTAGATATAATCACTACTTAATGTAAGATATACAGTACTTACGTAATACTGTCCCGAAGTTTTTTCTGCTTGTCCGCGTTGTTTTCAAACATTTTCAACACTTTCAACACACCACAAGCGTACAAAGCTGCTGATATGGGGTACTGAAACAAGAGGTTCCAACAATCGTTAATTGTCAAACGTAAATAATATGTTAGGGAAGTATCGCAAACAGTAAGCAACCAATAGAATGAAACAACAGTATTATTTGTTTTAATTTAAAACGTATCACAAAAAAGATTTCAAAACGTTCTATCAAAGTTCTATTGTTTCAGTAGCGCATGAAAAGTTAATTGCACACCAGTTGTGTCGTTTGAGATATTAACAAAGTGGAATAACATTTAAACTGCGCGACCCTAAAATTGACATTAGTAGTCTACCTTTCCGCCTTTTAAAAATTATAAATATTAAATTAAATATTTCTTTTTAACATTTGAAACGACAAATGAATTATAATAACTAAAATACAGAATATTGAAACTGCAATATATATATATATATATATATATATATATATATATATATATATATATATATATATATATATATATATATATATATATATATATATATATATATATATATATATATATATATTAAAAACATGGTTTGACAGAATATGTCATTGAGATCCCAGTCCATCCCACGTTAGGTAAAACTGTAAAATCAGCCAGGTGCGGAAGATTTTGTAGAGACACCTGGCTGTGGTTCGACTCACAGAAACATGACGCCACAGGACCTCAGCAAGTTTGGTTTTCCTCAGCCTCACAGCTCGTTTGAACAGTTGATTGGCTGAAATTTTTTGTTAAAGGATTGAAATAGCTTCGATACACACATACACATATTTGTAACTATATCTATATATATATATATATATATATATATATATATATATATATATATATATATATATATATATATATATATATATATATATATATATATATATATATAAATATATATATATATATATATATATATATTCTATATAATAGTTTCGCTGTCTGTCTATCTATCTATCTATCTATCTATCTATCTGTCTGACAAGAACGCTCTAGAAAAAAGACAAGCAATTTAAAAACATGCATAGTAATTCGAAAAACGAAGTATGACGTCGACACATTTAGCATAGAGTAGAAAATAATCTCAAACCCAGAGAGTGCTCACAGTTAGATGACGTCATTGATTTTCGCGCTAACATTGAATAAAAAGGAAATGTTGTCTAATCTAAATGGTTTGCGTGAAGAGTTTCTTGCATACAGTTCTTCGTGTAGGGGCGAAGCTCCACCCCCCGCGTAAGAACGTCTGAGCCCCCCCCCCTCCCCAACTCAAAAGAAATTTCTTCATCGATACTCTATAATAAAATTACCGCCTAATTAATGTGTCTAATCTAAAAAGTGGTTTTCTCGCAATTTCTTTAATGCAATTCTTCGCGTAGTGGCTAAGCGCGACACCAGTGTTTCTTTCAGACTTTTTCCTCCCCGGAGAGCGGTGGGGGTACTTGAAATTTTCGGGGGCGGGGGTAAAATTTTCGGGGAGGGGGCGGACACTGGAAAAAGTATATAATTATATTTCGTTGAATGGGACGGTAGACATGTTTTTTTGGGGGGTGGGGGTGGGGGTGGGGTGGGGGTGGGTGGGGGTGGGGGGGGGGGTGTTGTGTGGGGTGGGTGTGGGGTGCGGGGGTGGGGGGTGGTGTGTGTGTGTGGGGGGGTGGGTTGGTTTTAGTTTAGAGAAAAGAGACAGCACTATCAACCTAGCGCCCGGTGTATCCTTCCTCAACGGGCCATTTTTCTCGTATATAATAGTTTCGCTGTCTGTGTATCTATGTATCTATGTATCTATCTATCTATGTATCTATCTGACAAGAACGCTATAGAGAAAACACAAGCAATTTAAAAACTCTCACAGTGAAACGAAAACGAAGTATGACGTCATATAGTAGAAAATAATATCAAGCCGGAGAGTGCACACAGTAATGTGAAGACATTGATTCTCGAGTAAACATTGAATAAAAAGGCAATTTGGTATAATCTAAGTGGTTTGCGTGAAGAGTTTCTGTCATACAATTCTTCGGGTAGGGGCGAAGCCCCACCCTCGAGAAAGAACGTCTAAGCCGCCCCCCCCCCACAACTCAAAAGAAATTTCTTCATCGATACTCTATAATAAAATTACCGCCTAATTAATGTGTCTAATCTAAAAAGTGGTTTCTCGCAATTTCTTTAATGCAATTCTTCGCGTAGTGGCTAAGCGCGACACCAGTGTTTCTTTCAGACTTTTTCCTCCCCGGATGGGGAAATTTTTTCTAATCTAAAAAGTTTAGTGTGCACAGTTTTTTTTTCATGCATCTCTTCCCCGGCCAGGTTCTTCCTTTAGTTTGTATGATCTACAAATGCGACCAGTGTTTCTTTCAGACTTTTTCCTCCCCCGTTAGGGGTGGGGGTACTTGAAATTTTTTTTTTTGGGGGGGGGGGGGGGCGGGAGTAGAATTTTCTGGGAGGGGGCGGACACTGGAAAAAGTATATAATTATATATCGTTGAATGGGACGGTAGACATGTTTTGGGGTGTGTGTGTGGGGGGGGGGGGGGGCGGAGCCCCCTCCTCCCAAGTAGAGTTGCCTGAGATAAACTCTAAATGCGACTTTTGTCATGAATGAGATTAGGTGCATGGTTTAGGGATATGCCTATGACTATATTTTGTATAAATTAAAGTACCGAGAAAATAGACAGCACTATCAACCTAGCGCCCGCTGTATCCTTCCTCAACGGGCCATTTTTCTCGTATATATATATATAATGCATCAATTAGATGAGAATAGAAAAAAATAGTTATAAACCAGTAGCTACATTTTTTCCAACATTAAATAAATTGCAACTTTTTACACGTGATTTTAAAAAAATGAGCTGTGACTGCTGAAAATTAATTACGACAGACGTTTGTCATTAATTCATTTTACTTATACACGTATTATTTATTAAATCAAATCACGTGCTTATATTTCGTTCACATCTTTTAGTCGATAATAGTAATGAAAAATAAGCTAAGAGGAACTTTTTAATTCTTGTAAGTTTTATGGATTCGATATATTGTTTACCCGAACAGCGAAGAATTTTAACAGATATATCAAAAATGAAAGCAGATTTTAAAGGTGTTTTGTTTGCTTATCACAACACTATAGCTATCTCCGACTACATAACAAGGCCCGCACCGTCCTGGATATTTCACCTCGAGGTGTAGGCCTAACCTTTCACTTAACTTCTAGCTTTTCTTTAACCCTATAGTTTTCCCCTTCCCCAGCTACCCGTTCCTACTCAGCACATCAATATCCCAATATCCTAGACAAATTTTCTTCCAGGACTTTTTTCTCCGGGGGGGGGGGGGGACTAAAATTTCCGGGGGTTGGTGGGTGGGTGGCGGACTGTTAAAATATACATTTCCATATAAATTACATTTCGTTCTTGGGTGGGGGGGGGAGGGGCTCCTTCTCCCACCCCCGAAGAGATGCCTGAAAGAAACTCTGATCTTAGATATCTACAAGGTTTAGCCCTTACCTAGGTGGCACAAATAATCCAAATTGCTTTCATCAGAACTGAAGCTGCTTCCGTCAGTTTGATGAGGACATTCCTGCGAGAAGTCAAACTTGTCTATCTCACGCTGTATCCTGTGGTTTAAATTCTCCTGGCTGCACCTGTACCTAGGTACCTGTTGGCAAGGGGAGTAACCGATACATAATTAACAAAGGACTAACGCTCATAATAATATGTTTTGAACAGGGGCAACAAATAAATAGCAAACAAAGTCGTGTATTAACCATAACATCAAAGGTGACCAAGAAATTCTTAATATTATATTATTATTAACTTTTATCAATTACCAAATGCAATATTGTTCGGCCAATTTTTTATGACCAATTAAGCAAAATTATCACGTCATAAGAAGATATTTGCTTTAAGTATCCGTATGCACGGAAAAGAAAAGAAAAAGAAAACATCGCAAAACATGCATTGGACTGGAATCCCCAGGGGAAAAGGAGGGTGGGCCGGCCAAAGAAAACATGGAAGAGAACAGTTGAGGAAGAGGCAAAAACAGCTGGGCTCTCATGGGCACAGATTGGAGGAGCAGCCCAAAACCGAGTCCGCTGGAGATGTGTGGTTGCAGCCCTTTGCTCCCTAGGGGCCATAAAGGAATGATGATGATGATGATGATCCGTATGCACCACTTAGCATAAGTGCTGTTAAAAGTTTTCCTTTTAAAAATGTCTGGTAATCTCCTAAATATTTGGATTGGGTTGAGACTTCTGGTTCATGGATAACGCGTTCGAGACAACTTGTCCATTTCGGATAAAGCATTTCCAATAAGACAGAAAAAACACCACATGAGACAAAGTAAGCTCTACATAAGAGAAATTTGCTAAAATAAAAAAAAACTTACGTTTGTAAACCAACTGTACACTTTGGTTTTTAGTCCGGATGGTCGTTTACAGTGTCTAGTTTTGTGCTCAGCTTTACACTTGTTGTTTTTCTAAAATACAATAAAAATGTTATTTGAGACAATGTATGTGTACGCTTCAGTAGCGTAGCGAGAGGGGGGGGGGGGGGCGGGGGGGGGTACATATGTCCCCGGGCGCTGACCTTAGGGGGCGCCAAAATCGGTTGGAAAAATAAATTGAAAGGTTGAGGGGGATGCAAATCGAAAGTTTGAGGGGGGGGGGGTGCAAATCGAAATCTTGAGGGGGGTGCAAATCGAAATCTTGAGGGGGGTGCAAATCGAAATCTTGAGGGAGGGGGGGGGGGGTGCAAATCGAAAAGTTTGTCCCCGGGCGCCGGGAAGGGTCGCTACGCCTCTGGTACACTTATCGTTTATTATTTAAATTCAGATTTAAAAAAAAAAACAACTTACGGGAAGGAAGCAGGTAACACACTTCCATGTTGTATAATGGTAGGGTGTGTCTATTTCTTTGGGATTAGTGACACAACATATGTGTTTGTTTTTCTGTAAAAGACACACAATTATAATTTTTTTTAAAAATAGGATAGAGGATATTTTTAAGTTATGAAAACAAAAACAAAAAATTAGTAAACATGCATTGGTTCTGTTTTTGAAAAAAATAATTAATCAATACTTTTAACAAAAGTCAACAAAATTGAAAGTTTATTGTATGCATACCTTCTACAATTACAGAGTTGATCTACGTCTTCACTACGTCCATGTTTTAGTCAGAGTTACCAAACTTTACCTCAACAATGAATGTCTCATCTATTTCTATTGTTTTAATCAGTTAACTAACTTAACCTCAACAATGAATGTCTCATCTATTTCTATTGTTTTAATCAGATTTACCAAACTTTACCTCAACAATGAATGTCTCATCTATTTCTATTGTTTTAATCAGATTTACCAAACTTTACCTCAACAATGAATGTCTCATCTATTTCTATTGTTTTAATCAGATTTACCAAACTTTACCTCAACAATGAATGTCTCATCTATTTCTATTGTTTTAATCAGATTTACCAAACTTTACCTCAACAATGAATGTCTCATCTATTTCTATTGTTTTAATCAGATTTACCAAACTTTACCTCAACAATGAATGTCTCATCTATTTCCTCCAATATCGCGATGTCCTGGTCTAACATATAGGCGATCAGCTCCGCTCTGTTGCGCTTGATAGCTTCTACCAGCACTAACTTGGTCAGTATGGGATGCTATGTGTGAACGAAAACAATATGTTTACAACGTTTAACTCATTTAAATTGGTTAGATTGAAGTAAACAATATATGCACAGTAAATTACCAATAATACAAAACACAAAAATGTTTATAAAAAATTACAAGTACAATAGATTGTTATCGATGATCATTTGGACTAAAATCATAACGTTATGACATGTTATTAAGTAAAATCTAAATGCTTAGAAATGTAAGGCTTAGACAACGTCGAGTCATGCAATAGATTATGAAGTAAAATATGCAGCATTAGACATGTATAAAGGGTCGGCGTGGTCGAGTCGGTTACGCTCATGGTTGCTAAAGAGAGTCGAGTTCGACCCTCTCCCCGCCCCCCCCCCCCCCCCGCTGGGAATATGAGGCTCAATAACTGCTTTGTAGTTTGTTCTTGGTTTGGCAAATGCTATGGAAAAAATCCAAAAAAAAGGGGGTGAAAGCTAATTTAACGGCTACATGGCGCATTATCAGTTGACATGTAATACTTAATTGTATTTAAGGAAATCCCTTACAACTTTAAAATTAAGAACGAAGAAGAAGAAGAGGACATGTAATAGTCTATAAATTTAAGGTTTAGGCATTAAATACACTACAATTTAAATGTGTAAACATGAAGCCTTAACCATGCAATAGATTAAAATATAATCTGAAAGCTGAGACAAGCAAAAGACTAAACTCAGCAAGTCTAGATCCACGGTAGACTTACATGTAGCCTGTGTTCACAGAGATCATAGACGAAATGTATTCTGTTCAGCTTCAGACACAAGACGTAAAACTTCCATCTATCTCTGTCTGATCCAAGTTGATCTATCAAACTTTGTTTCTGTTGATTGAGGTTCGTCTGACTTTCTGGTGTTCCGTTGGGCGTCCCCGTCTTTTGATTCTTAGGTCCAGCTTGACCTTGACCTTTCTCTCCACTCAAACTGTCAGACAGGTGTGAGCTGGTCGGCCTGAGTGACGTCATGGACCCTTTACTTGTGACGTTTCTGGGTGTGTATCCATTCTGGCTCCCAGTAGTTCTAGCTGTGTAGTCGTTGGATTGTTTAGATCTAGGTGTGTAACCATTGGGTTGTTTAGATCTAGGTGTGTAACCATTGGGTTGTTTAAATCTGTAAGTGTAGTCGTTGGGTTGTCCAGTGCTGGTCACTGATGTTGTAAGAGATGGTGGCACAGCAACAGAAGTGTTCCATTCTGGAATAGTTTCTATAAAAACAAGAGATCAATACAGAATGAATTGGGAATACATTTAGTTGATTATCGTCGTTTTAATCACAATAAACAACCGAAATGTACGTTTATCGGATTGTTAAATTTAAAAAAAATCGTTCAGGCATTTATGCTAAATATTAATGTTTAAAATAAACATCTAACCTTTGATAGCATTCAAAATTATGTCTGGAATCTCATCTTTCGTGTTTGGTGATAAATCCCTAAAGTTCATGACGAATATCAAATTTTTGCTGGGGTCCTCATTGGTCGAATCCTTTGACAAGTCTTTCCTAGCTCTTTAAAGAACACGTTAAATTTACGCATCCGATTTCTAAAACTTTTGTTAACTTAGGACAACAAATTTAACAAAACAAAAAATTTAAACTGTAATCTTAAAGTTAGATAGACACTGGATGGTATTCTACTATTCTATAAACAAGAAACCACGTTGTATTATAATTACATTTCATCGGCTAACTCATCGGCGATGCCTCCAGTGCCCTGTAGATTGAAATAAATAGTACACAACGCTTGAAATTTACTTAATCAATACACATTCGTCAAGATAAATACAATCTATCACTATATTGAGTTTAACGAATAACAAAAAAAACACATGATCCTTTTTTTAAAGTTTCCTTTCAGACCTAAATATCCATAGGGGCAGATGAAGTACAATTCACATGTTTTTGACTTCGAAATATGAAGAGATAGAGTGATCAGCATTATGCCTAACCGACTATTGTTGCTTTAAAGTGAGACAGGTACCAAATAGAGCTGGGTCGACTCAGTAAAGTTATGCAGTCACGAGTCCCAACGTGATCCAAACACAAGACCTTCAGGCTAGCAGTCGAGCTCTGTACCCCCTGACTACACGGTCCCATGTCTGATGTACTAAGTAAGTATCACTGCACGGTGTATGGGATTACACGTGAACTGAATGCGATGTTAGACGAACACTGATTACACATGAACTGAATGCGACGTTAGACGAACACTGATTACACATGAACGGATACGATGTTAGACGAACACTAATTACACATGAACTGAATGCGACGTTAGACGAACACTGATTACACATGAACTGAATGCGACGTTAGACGAACACTGATTACACATGAACGGATACGATGTTAGACGAACACTAATTACACGTGAACTGAATACGATGTTAGACAAACACTGATTACACATGAACTGAATACGATGTTAGACGAACACTGATTACACGTGAACTGAATACGATGTTAGACGAACACTGATTACACGTGAACTGAATACGATGTTAGACGAACACTGATTACACATGAACTGAATACGATGTTAGACAAACACCGAGTTACCTTCAGTACAATGACCGGTGTCCCCTCTAACAACTTCCTGTTTACGGACTCTTTTGTTCGCAGGTTTCCGTTGACAACAAAAACACAATGGAAGTACGGATTGTCGAAGGTGTCTGTGACGTAAAACAAATTTAGAGTTGCATTGTGTTTAAATACATTTAAAAAAAACAACAACTAAAGCAATTGATCGTTAAAGCAAATGTTAATCCCATTCCAACAGGGAAATTAGTTTTTTGTGTGACAAATTGTGCTGAGTATTCTGACGTGGTACATAATTAACATTTATTATAATTACTATGCTCTTACCAGTTTTAGTGTGCGCGTTAAGTTTTTCTGTACCTTTCCCCACTATATTAGCTGTCGAGAGACATATGAGCGACAACGCATGTTATTCAAAACAGTTGAGTTTATTAGTTCAGAAGTCTAAACATAACGAAGCTTATATGTATTACATGCCATTAGTTTATTTTGATCGTGCTTAGTATCTTATCGGAAAACTAGTTGGCATTAGTAACTAATTTACAATGCACATTGATCGATATCATTCTTATCCTAATTGTTTTGATAGGTCTATACAAGTACCTGAAGTTGTACTTCCGTTTTCGGAACTTGGTGGCGGACCAACTTTACACATATCCCCTTCAAATGTTAATCGCAAATAATTGCTCTCAATCGTTTTTCTGAACTGCAATCATGAGTAATTAGCATTCACATGAAAGAAATCTAAAATTAAACATGCGTTTAGTTAATGCGAACGATTTGTGACGCGTGGAAAAGCTAATGATTACAAGAGCATCTTTTGTTTTGGCAAATGAGAGAATGTTTACCGTGTTTTCAGGTTGGAGACTCAAGTGTTGGTTTTCTGTGCAGCGTCCGAAAATGGCCGGATCGTGCGTTTTCATGTCAAATATGGTGTGCTTCATTGTTGTGTGGACCTCTTTCAAAAATTTATCATTTTCACTTTCTACAATCAACCAGAAGTCTAACAGCAAAAGATAAAAAAACATACATGTTTTTAAAATTCACTTTAACATTTGAATTTCAATTCAAATATTTATTAATTTTCTTCCACTTTAACACATTGATAGATTACACCAATGATAAATACTTAAATAAAAGAGAACAAGTTACTGCGTGCTAATATTTTATAATAAAATCGACAAACTAGTTTCTAACGTAACAATTAAAAAAATCGTTTATACTCGGCAACTCTCAAATAGATTTTTGCCTAAACATTTGCTGCACATATATATACATATATATGAGAAATTCCTATATTTATTATTTTCAATATTTTCCACTAGAGAAAAACAAAAATATAATACATTTTACCGTTGTTAACGATGAACTTCAACAGATGTTTTAGAATTGCGTTGTGATTCAGCGTTAGATTGTTTCTGTCTCCCATTTCCCCAAATAACCACACTGCAAGCTATAGGAGAGAGACAATTAAAACAAAAATTAGAATACAGGAAGGGTTCGGCGTGGTCGAGTAAAGCTTATTGTTGCTAAACCGGGCAGATGAGGTTCGTTATTTTGGGGATAGCCACTCTTCTAGGAGAGACAACTCCAGAATCAAACAACTGCTGCCTTATATATATATATATATATATATATATATATATATATATATATATATATATATATATATATATATATATATTATATATATATATATATATATATATATATATATATATATATATATATATATATATATATATATATTTATTTATTTATTTATTTATTTATTTATTTATTTATACAAATATACCAAATAAATAAATCAACCTTTGGAATTTTATGAAACTCCCACGGCATCGTTATCTCCTCCGTTTTTTTAGCACTTATGGGTGGTGTTTGTTTCGGTGCCTTTTTCTCCTGAAACTTATAACAAATATTTTTTCAACCGAAAGCATCAAATTGGTTTTAGATTTATCCATTGCTATATTATTAGTCTGGAGTAAATGTAGGCCTATGCAATTTCTCAGCACATATCATTGTTTAGTAAAGTTGTGACTGCTCTTAAAAGTACATTATATCTATTTTAGTTTAATATCACTGAACTGCAATTTTAATTAACGCCTATATTAAATGACGCATGCCATTGCAAAATTGTTTATCTAAGTTTGGACATAGTGATCTATGTCACGTACCAGTTGTAGGTGTGTAAAGCCATTTTCGTTTCTTGGAGTTTTTGTCATGTAGTAACTGGACCTGGATGTCTGTAGGAAACGATATAATACTTCATTATCTATATATATAATTCTCTTCTGGGAGACGTTAAAAAACAAGCTGTAAGCGCGCCGAGCAGTCCCCTCTTTTCCTCTCTAGGCATATCTCAACCACCCCCACACCCACATGGTCTGATGAGCTGTAGTTCACGCTAAATGTTTACATAGTAGACCCAGGTTTAGTGACGGCTATTAGGGGCAGATAATTTAGTTTAAAACTATTTTATACTTAGGGGAAGTAAGTAAGTGGAGGCTGCTTTCACGTGGGTGGGGTGGGGGGGGGTAGGGGTTGGGGAAAGGAGGATTTTAGTGTTTTAAAGCAAATATTTTCAGTGGAAAAGCATTGGTACTGTCGAATTCACAAATTATGAATTAATGAAAAGTAGAAAATAAAACAACTAAATAGCGGCGTATAATATGCCGCGGGTCGGCTCGTGTTCATGTATTTGTGATATGAATTGTAGTTGTTTTTTGTAAAGAATTGTATCCGCTATTAAATAAAGGGAAGTTCCTTTTTTGAGACCGACGGTCTATGGGGCAAGTGAAGTAGTTCACCAGTTCCTGTGACCTCGGCATGTGAAGAGATAGTGTGGCCAGCACGATGCCCAGCGACTTTTACTTTCTCTTACGTAAGTTGGGTACTCATTAGAGTTGGTTTGACTCAGAGAAGTTCTACTGACTTGAATCTGGATTCAAGCTCGAGAATTTTGGTAGAGCAGTCTAGTGGTAGAGCACACAACTACGATTCTGTGTAATAAATATTTCTTATCTTTTATCATATTCCTTGTTATAAGTCTAACAAATACAATGTTACATTTAAACTAAGCGAATTTTAAATATTTGCATTCATAAAAGATTTAAATGTATAAAAAGTAATCATTCTTCCTTTTGGTTTTAAACTTTTATAAAAAAAAAACCTTGCTCTACTATCATAGAATAATCAATGAAGTAAAATTCCAACTCAGTGCGAAATGTCTATGTTAACTTTCATAGAGAAGGTCAAAACGTGTTAAATCACGTTAACAAACATAGCTCTATTGGCGATACAGCTCAGGTAAAGTGTTAGCCTATATATAGATTGGGTTTTCATTCAAGTGTGAATATATACAACATTGGAACTCATGAATACGTGACATGAAACGGCATTGAAGAAATCCTCGGAAAATCGTACACCGTGAAGTCTGAATCAGTACAGCGCTACCTTATAGAACAACATTATATATATATATATATATATATATATATATATATATATATATATATATATATATATATATATATATATATATATATATATATCGACCTTTTAATTTCAATTTAGACATTGTATACATCACTTATATAGGGGTCTACTCTTTTTTTGAATCTCATCATATTTATGTGTACGCTAATTGTGAAGCATGAATTAGGAATGAGAATATTTTGGGATATTGACTACACTGTTCTATTCATGTTGTAGTTATATTTTCTTAACATATTAATGCAACAAACTTTCGTAGTCATTCGATGCATGAGGTCAAAGCTGGTAGGCTAACAGAAGATTTACAAAATTAACAATTATAATTTAAAACTGAATTTGATTACTGATTACGTTTTTAAAATTTTACATCTTGCATTTTAATATTACAATAGCGTTATTAGAAGAGAATACACAATAGATAAAAAATACCTTAGAAAACTTTGTTTTACTGCCATTTGCATATCTCTTAGACCCAATGTATATCTGCTCGGGTGAAATTTGATTCACACTCATTTCAGCATTGCTGCAATATATATATATATATATATATATATATATATATATATATATATATATATATATATATATATATATATATAGTTGTGATAAAACTCATTTAAATTTGCAATTGGAAAACTAAACTTTACTTACGTTACATTAAAACCGCCATTACTCTTATATCAACACCTAAACTACATTTGACGGCCGAAAATGAAACTTAAAATCACCATACATTGAAGGTTACGATCAATACGTATTTTCCTTATGTCATGCCTCGTGGTTTGTTATGTGTGTTAGTTCATTGAATGAAAGTAAGTCTGTAGCAGCGAACATGTAAATAAGTGTATGCGAGTTCCCGCGCGTCGTGAAGTTATTAAATAGTTCAAACTATAAACACTCTGGTTCTGACAGGACTTGATTGTAAAATCATTTAGATATTAAAGGGTACCTGAAGCAAGACATAGTTGTATACACATCAACACAATTTAGAGTTGTTAACGAATTTAAAGAATTATTTTAATGTTCGAATGGAAGGTTGCCTAAGCTATGTTTCTTCCAGACATTTTACTCCGGGAGGGGGGGGGGGGAGGCACTTGAGATTTTCTGGGGTGGGGGAGGGGGGCGGACTAATATTTCCAGGAAGGGGGGCAGATAATTGTAAAAGTAAATATTTTCAATGGAAATTCTGATGGGGATGTGGTGGGGGGGGGGGGGGTTGGGTGTCTGAGGAGAATTTGTGATTAAATTTAAAGCACATACGAATGTTAAAGTTAACAGTCGTGTAAGTTACGTGACGACTGTTTTATCTAGCATCTTATGGACGATAGTTTTGTCTATTGGGCACACACAGACACACAGACACACACACACACACGCACGCACGCACGCACGCACACACACACACATGCACGCACACACACACACACACATATATATATATATATATATATATATATATATATATATATATATATATATATATATATATATATATATATATATATATATATATATATATATATATATATATATATATATATATATATATATATATATATATATACTTTTCCAGCTCAGCAGTATTTAGTATGTTCAGGAAAGTGCAAGCGTGCTTGATATTTGATATCGACCGGTGAAGCCAGTGTATTATACATTTTCTCGAAAAACCATAGCGTAAGGTTGGCATTGAGAAAATGTGTGTCCTCGAGTTATGAAATTTATGGCACACAGCCACGACCAGTGCCGGCAGATCGTACGTAACAAATCTGTCACGTGATCGAGTCACGGTTCATCGGATACAGCGTGTATTAACTGTTCACTGAAGCGTGTGTCTCGTATCTCGTATGTCTTTTAATCTCTTGATATTGGCGTGGCACTTTAGAAGTAAAGCCAGACGGGAAGAATTGCGAGACGTAACGTCAGTGTATGTCGGGTGGGGAGAGATGACGTACTCAGTAGAGATATTTTAACAGTCATTAATGTATTGATTCGTTAAGATTAAAAAAAAATTGTGAACCTTTAAATGAGTGCTATCGACAAAGAGTTTACGCTTGTGGATTATCGATGTATGTGTGTGTGTGTGTGTATGTGTGTGTGTGTGTGTGTGTGTGTGTGTGAAGTTTTGTGTTGTGAGAGGGATTGCAATTCTAAATAAATGGAAGCACACTTAAGAATATGGTTCTAGCTGCTTTGACCATCGGGGGTTTAACCATATTTTTTTACCATAGGGGTTTGACCTTTGAGGGTTTGACCATAGGGGGTTTGACCATAGGGGTTTATCCAGGGGCGGAACTACCATACCGCCAGACCCCGCAATGCGGGGGGGGGGGGGGCCAGGACGTTTAGGGGCCCAGTTCCGACCAAAAAACAATGATTATTTTTTTCAAAAATTATGTTTTTCATGCATCTTGAAATTGGTTTTGTAAAAAAAAAACAAAAAAAAAAACAACAGGTCTACTATAGCAGAGATTGTTGCGTAGAAAAATATTTTAAAATCTACAAGAGCTATAGTTTGAAAGGTAGGTAAACATTCACACTACTTCCATGACTTACTGTCCTTCTTTAAAATAGGGATGCCCATGAAGCTCATTTAAATAGTTTTGTACTATCTATATTAAAAAGCAATTGATTCTATGAATTGTTACGTAAATAATAGTAAATAATAGTATAGCTATAAAAATCAATGTTTTCAAAATTGATATTATAAAGCCAAAAATGAAAAAAATAAACATAACGCGAGAAACCATTCACGAATCAAGCTAACGTCTTTATATATTTTTGACCAGCTTATTTATAATACTTCTTAAAGCTAAAGTTAGTTTAGGGGCCCAAAGCCGACCGTAATAAATTTTTTTATAGATTAAAAAAATTATTTTCTTGTAAAAAAAAACAAACAGATCTACTACAGTAGTGATGTTCTACAATAGCCAACACACGCTGTTTCGTAAAGGAAAAAAATATAAATGCTACATGAGTCCAAACCACTTCCATGACTTATTTCCCTTTTTTAAATTGCCAAATATGTGTGTTCTTAAGAAACTTTTAATAGATTTGCACTAAACAAATTAAAAAGCAATTACTTTTCTTAATTATTATTATTTTTTAAAATACATAATAAAGAATGGTATAGCATAAACAGGAAATGTATTTAAAACTAATAATATAAATACAAAAAACATAAAAATAAACATAAGGAGAGAAACAATTACAAATATAAAAATTTAACACTTAATATTCTTTTGACCAACTTAAAGTTTAAGAATCATTATGCCAGCCATTAAAACAGAGCATTTCAAAACAGACTAATAGCACTCACACAAATGAAGTGTTGTTGTAACATGTTTTAATTTAAAAATAAAAAATTCAAATTTCAAACAAGCCCGAATTGAGTATTCTATGTAGGCCTACGTATTTTCATATATATATATATATATATATATATATATATATATATATATATATATATATATATATATATATATATATATATATATATATATATATATATATATATATATATATATATATATATATATATATATATATATATATATATATATATATATATATATATATATATATATATATATATATGGGGCCCAAAAATATTTTTTTGCGGGGTGGCCCTTTTTTTCTAGTTCCGCCACAGGGTTTATCCATAGGGGGTTTAACCATAGGGGGTTCGACCACAGCGGGGTTTTGAGCACAGAGGGGGGTTAACCATAATACATAGATTTTATAATAGAAATTATAAATTATTTGATTTAAATTTTTGATACAATTAATACGATTTTATACATGTTTCCTGGGAGTCCATTTATTGAAATTAACGTGTACTAAAAAAAGTCAATAACGATATTTTAGTTTCCACATAAAAGTTGGTGCTAAGCTTCATAGATTTATTTTAAATATAAATGGAACAAAAATAATGCGACATATAACAAGTTTCACAAATGAATAATTTAGATTTACTTGAAAATACATAGCATATATAAAGGATAAAAAAGGCTAAAAAAAAGCATGCCAACAGTATAGTCAAAGACGTAATACGTGTATGGTTAACTAAATGACAGATGTGCTTTAGCACGCAAATATGTCAGTACATTTGTTTGACCACATGTCAGTTTATCTGTTTGACCATATGTCAGTACATCTGTTTGACCATATGGCAGTACATCTGTTTGACCAAATGTCAGTACATCTGTTTGACCATATGTCAGTACATCTGTTTGACCGTATTTCTGAACAGCCCATTGTAATTTTCCGTGCAGCATTCTGTATCGCTTCTCAGCAGGGTAGCTTGCTCCTGCAACACCTTGCAAGAAAGTTGTTTTTGTCGTGTACAGTCCATATGTAGACCTTCAAAAGGAAACACCACATTGTTGGGTGACTACATTGGAGGAGACACTTAACACAGTAATGCCATCCTTTAGAAATGTTTTTTGTTCGTGCTACACCATCAACAATCGTGTGCATTTGATTCAAAGTTTCAAAAGGAAACAAAGACATTTTGTACTTTTCGCCACGACCTCGGATGTAGGTGTGTTTGGAGTACGACACCACCTCGTCGATGTTGTCAACTGTTGGCAGAGACCTGCGGTCAAAGCCGGACACATCGCTGAAGATCAAACACCCGTTGACAAACCACCTGCTGAGAAAACACCTGTGGTCAAACCTCTATGGTCAAATCTCCGTTATGGTTAAAGCCCCTCTGTGGTCAAAGCCCCTCTGTGGTCAAAGCCCCTATGGTCAAAGCCCATGTGGTCAAAACCCTTATGTGGTCAAACCACCTATGGTCAAAACCCCTTTGATCTAAGGTCCGCGCACCAAGAATATATATATATATATCTTTTAATAAATAAAATGAAATTACCATTGCTTTTTGCTGAACACTAACACTATTGAGCAGTTTAGAGAAAAATGATCTAACGCCATAAATTGTGTATATAATTTTTATTTTTGTGCTGCAAAAGATAAATAATGTGATAAAACGATATCAGTTAAAAAAGAATGAAAACTAAATTATGTTAATATTAATTATTATTAATGCACACAATTATAATTATATTACCACTAAATTATATTATTAAAAAATTATGTTTTACATTTGATAAAAAATAACATAATTTTAGAATAAAGAAAGATAGAATAGCTTCAATATAAAAAAGTATAGTTTTTAGGCAGTTTTTGAGCAGTTTACGCAAAAATGATCTAACGCCAAAAATTGTGTATATAATTTTTATTTTTGTGTTGCAAAAGATAAATAATGTGATAAAAACTAATCTATTTTAGTATTAATGTACACTCTTATATTTATACTGCTACTAAATTAATTGATTTATATTTGATTAAACAATAACATAATTTTAGAATAAGGAAAGATAGATAAGCTTCAGTATAAAAAAAGTACAATTTTTAACATAATTAAGAGAAAGCAATTAAACGTAATAAAACACAACCGTTATGTAATATATACCGTATATATTTCAGAGATTAATAACATATCAGTAGGACTAATTAAAATATACGCTGCTAAGCAGACTTCCAAAATGACCAAATAAAAAAAAATCTAAAATAAATAATTCGTTTTCATACAGTGCATAGATAACTAGGTGTGTCTAAATGGAAGGCTGGTGCCTGGAGGTGTCTAAATGGTATCTGGGATTTGGTGATGTGTTGTAATGTTTTGGGTGTCATGTGGTTTGGAAAGAAAAGTGTGTCAAGAATGGCATTGTTTTAACTTTCATAGAATTTATATAATTTTTTGTATCATATTCTAGAGAAAAAAAAATTATGTAAAAGGTATGAATATTATAAAGCTGGTGGTCAGCAGTAAAACACACATTCATAATGGAGCTATGGACAACCCAGATGAGAGTAAATGAGTTTTGTGATTGACCTACGAGAAGGCAAATACAATAAGAATTTATATAGTCAGCATATCAAGACTGAATGGAATATTAATCTAAACATAACTTTAAACATTGTCGTTAGAAGATCAGTTTTAGAACTTATTTCGAACACTTTGAATTCCAAGGTAGCTAACAGAAATAATAATTATTATAGAGTAGACAACAAATCTTATTGATGTTTAAAATCCTCTTTACATTCTAAATAGCCAGTCAACCTTCACTTTTTTAATATTAACAATCAAACTTCACTTTTGACATTAACACATGTAAATTGCATTCACCTCAATAATGCAATGCTTATTCTATTACCCGGGTAAATTAAAATCAATTTATTTTTATGTTTTAATTAACTGCTTTAGTAATGTATATAGTAATGTAAACATGTAATATGAGGAGTTTGTCTAAATACGTCTCAGTTATCAACTAATAATTGTGGGTTAGGTATGATCAAGCGTAAAAAATCAATTTAACACGTGTGTTCTCCTCCTAACCAGATAGTTACAGGATTTTCGCTTAGCCAGTTGTCACGCTGACATATAATCCATTAGGATCGTTGTTGTGGCGAACTGAAAAATAATTATTAGTCCTTGTTTAAACGATTTAAATGTGTTGTCGGCAAATTATTAAAATACGTTTTGCTAACTAATATTTTATTTTAACTAATTAAATATATATATATTAATACTGTGAATATATTTAACAGGAATTTTAATTAATTAAAGAGTGTTTTAATTTTTAGCTGACCTTTTTTTGTCTTCAATCGGCGGACTTTAACACATCGCCATCGTATGCCGTACTTGTATCTGGAACGCCTAAAAGACGTCAATTGAATACATTAGTTGATTCTATTTTTAAGGGAGTGGTCTGTAGGGAAACTATGTAGTTTTAATACTTGAAATAAAAACAATTATTTCTTTACAGATTTGATAAGATACACCAGCATATGTGCTTAAATTAAATACAATTGTTGGGGCAGGGGGGTCTTAGTAACTATGAAAAAAGCTACGATTTTGAAAAAAAAAACTGTTTGTAGCAATGAAATAATTTATAAAGTGTTATTTTTAAAACCCAACAAAGTATTCTTCTTATTCTTTGTTGGAAGGGATCCAACACAATTAAGGATTACGTGTCAACTAGTTATGCGCCATTGATGCCATTGACTCCGATTTCAGCCTGCTTTTCTTTTTGGATTTGCTTCCATAGCATTTGTCCAACCAGGAACAAACTACAAGGCAGCAGTCCAACAAAGTATGAATTCATAATATTCTAACATTTAAGTAGTTTGTTAAAAAATGTCATATGCCGATTTTCAATCTTTAATTTTTTAAATTGTTTTATTTTTAATTTGGGTCCGGTAAAAAGCAATGTTTAAAACAAACATGGCCATCACAATTTTAATTACTGATGAAACTTAATAGTGTGAATTTCACATACTTTCAATATACCGTTTTACATTATCATCTAATGGTGCGAACGTTGACATATTCATATTCAATCTTTTAACTTTAAAAATAACCATAATATAACCATTCTCCATATTATTAATACTAGATTAAATTAAAAACAAAAAATTTAGATTCTAAAAAATAACAATATATATATATATATATATATATATATATATATATATATATATATATATATATATATATATATATATATATATATATATTTATATATATATATATATATGAAAATTCTTAATAGACCTAACAATAACAACGTCTTTTACATTAAACGAATGCACTTACACAGCAAAAAATCTGTATTTCTGTTGATGTCTTTGTGTTCTGCTTGAGTTTGTACGGTTAGTTGTTCCTGGATTCACTTTTGAATAAGAAATGAAATACAAAATAATCACTTTTAAGTAGTACAAAGTAGACTTTTATCGTTTATTATTTGTCTCAGGGTATGTAAATTTAATATAAGAGTGGCTATATATTTATCAAAAATAATTTGAAAAAAAAAGACGCATTATATAGATTAAAAATAAATAAATGTACAGACATTTATATACAAGAACATTAAATTTAAATATGTTCATACAATGTATAATACTTTGACCAGTACTCACATGAACGTGCACTGGTCAGCACTGCTACCGCAGCATTTTCATTCAAACGATTACCTCGAACTGGACAGAACAACTTCTGTTGATACTCTTTTGAATCTATTTGTTTAAGGGGATACGCTATGATTTTTTCTATTTTTTACAGTTTAAGATCTAAAGCCTTTTGAATACTTTTATCATATTTGGCATATAAAAGTAAGTATTAAACAGCAAAAGAAAAGGGTCGAAAACAATTTTGGTTGTCATGGAAACCAAAAAACCTCCGCCATTTTGAATTTTTCGGTACATTTAAAAATGCTAAGGCTTTTTTTATTTATGCATCTATAGCAATCAAATTTAAACTGCTTATATTTCAGTATATATTAAAACTTTTGTCACGACAACTTTTTGAAATAATTCCAAGTAAGAATTTTACAAGGTCTAAATAATCGTACCCTTTTTAGTATTCAAAAGTTTCAAAATGTGCATATTAATTACCAAATACTTTTTTTCTATGAAAGCAATCACAATTCCCTCGTGACAAAAGTTGTATTTTTGCATCAAGAACATTTACTGAAAATATGGTTGGCATTGTTTAATAAATAAAAAAGTAGTAGGCTTTTTAGTGTTAAAAACCTGCGAACTGAGAAAAACAGCCAAAAGTAAGGAAAATCAGGTCAGGAAATTACCATATCTTCTTAAACTGCAAAGCCGATTGTAAGCTTTGGGTGTTTCCGAGATGTAGGAAATTAAGTTTATTAAATACATGAGAAATCCAGCTTTCCAATGATGTCAAATACAATATAATGACGGATATAAAACTTTTCATAGAGAGCTTGTAAGATTGGGAAAAATTGATTATTTTTTAATTAATAGGGTCATAAAAATCGTAATTCAAACACATAAAATATTTTTTTCTCTTTAAAGTTATTATTTTCTATATACACAAATGGACAAAGTATCAAAAAGTGCAAGAAACCCATCATGACAAAAAACAAGAAATTTTGTGATTTTTTTCCGCGCATATCCCCTTAAATCATTACAGAATTTTATTTTTAAAGATTCAGAAATAACATCAAGACAAAGGTAGCATTAAAGTTAATGTATTTATGGTAATATTGTTCATTCCATTTGATTAACTGGGTCGATATTTTATTTTGCAATAACTCTGGAGATCACTAGGTTGACCACTAGGTTGGTCACTAGGTTGGTCACTAGGTTGGTCACTAGGTTGGTCACTAGGTTGTTCACTAGGTTGGTCACTAGGTTGGTCTCTAGGTTGGTCACTAGGTTGGTCACTAGGTTGGTCACTAGGTTGGTCACTAAGCTGGTCACTAAGCTGGTCACTAGGTTGGTCACTAGGTTGGTCACTAGGTTGGTCACTAGTTTGGTCACTAGGTTGGTCACTAGGTTGGTCACTAGGTTGGTCATTAGGTTGGTCACTAGGTTGGTCACTAGGTTGGTCACTAAGTTGGTCACTAGGTTGGTCACTAGGTTGGTCGCTAAGCTGGTCACTAGGTTGGTCACTAAGCTGGTCACTAGGTTGGTCACTAAGCTGGTCACTAGGTTGGTCACTAGGTTGGTCACTAGGTTGTTCACTAGGTTGGTCACTAGGTTGGTCACTAGGTTGGTCACTAAGCTGGTCACTAGGTCGGTCACTGGGTTGGTCACTAAGCTGGTCACTAAGTTGGTCACTTAGTTGGTCACTAGGTTGGTCACTAGGTTGGTCACTATGTTGGTCACTAGATTGGATATTGTAGCGGGAATACAATTAGCCTCTATCCGCTAACTAGGTTACCACCCCCACCCCTTAATTGCGCTCTCTCTCTCTTCCCCTCACCCCCCCCCCCCCCATCACGGTTAGCTTGAATAGCAAGACCCTCAACAGTCGGCCTAGATTTACAATGTGACTCAACATCCCTATGCTGAAAAGCCTTTTTAAATAAGCCCATCCCTAAGAAGATTAAATGACCAGTAAGGGATTAATACGGTTATATTTATCCCTATCACTGCTGTGCTCGGTGCACCCACGCATCAACCCACACCCTGTTTGTAAGTGCATCGAAGACATTCTACCACGTGCCGCTCCTTACAGAAAGTACTTGATTACATAAACAATTAGGGATTTAAGTCAACTGTTTTTTGACACCTATCTTTTATTGTCAGCATTTCATGTGTTACTATCCACGCTACTTGAATAATGACAGTGTTCATTCTTGTCTCATCTTATCGCTAAGTTACAGCACATTGTTCTGTGGTACTCGAGCCCTAAGCTCCTATCGCAAAGTTATTTAGGTAATAGGTTCCAAATTATGTAACTAGGACATCAGTAATTAAGTACCATATATACTTATCAATTTCATTTATGTTGATCTTTTGTACTAAATTGACATATTTTACCTTTATCGGGTTATTTGTTTTATTATTTCACCTATAATCAAATGAAATCAAATATTAAAAAAAAAACCAGCCGACCCGCTGCGTATCATACGCCGCTATTTAGTTTTTTTTTTTCTACTTTTCAGTAATTTATAATTTGTGAATTCGACAGTACCAATGCTGCCACTGAAAATATTTGCTTAAAAACACTAACCCCCCCCCTTCCCCTCCCCCACGTGAAAGCAGCCTCCTCTTAGTTACCTCCTCTAAGTTTAAAATCGTTTCAAACTAAATTATCTGCCCCTAATAGCCGTCACCAAACCCGTCTCTATGGTTGTAAAATGTAAACAGCGTGAACCACAGCTCACCAGACCATGTGAGGGGGTGGGGGGTGGTGGTGGTAACGATAGAGAGGAAGAGAGGGGACTGTAAGGCGCGCTTGCAGCTTGTTTTCTAACGGCTCCCAGAAGAGAATTATATATATAGATAGATTGTTCACGGTAGAGTGTGACTTAGATACTTTTATTTTTAAGGGCATGGGCGTGTGCTGAAAACCAAATTAGCCAAAAGCCTATTTCTAAATCTAATGCTATAATATTTGGCATATAGATCTAGTTATAACTCAATGAGTTAAGTCTAAAAATTGAAAAAAAAATCCGAAATTTTCCTGTCGAAGCCATGGTGATGGCGGCTATTTTGTGTTTTTATTTAATTTATTATAGAGGCATATGTTGGTAACAATTATTATAGATTTCATTTTTAAATTTAAAATACTTTTGTTTTTACAATTTTTTTTTCTGAAAATCGCTTTAAAAAATCGAAATTTGTGTAAACATTACACTATTTTACGTGTATAAGAAAAATCATACACATTTTCAAAAAAATGTTCTATCAGTTTTGTTCCAAGATGGTTGCCTTTACCATTTAGCATAATAATTTACAATGCCAATACAATCGTTGACAGGAATTAACTGGTGTGGCATTTCAGGAAGTTTTCCAATAGTTTTACATTTTAGCCTTGATAGCATACATCTCCCTCACTATTTGATAAATCATTGTTTTGAGAGTATGTTTTACGATTTGGTCTGACCACTCCCCCAATCACACCAAATAATGTAACCTGGCGCGGACCACAGCTCACACCCCCACCAAAATCGTGTAATGCACAAACATTAGCCTCAGTTTATCCAACACCATAATTGTATGTTTATTACCTGCATGTGGACAGTTGACTTTACATTTCACAATTGTACAATATCAATAAAATCGTTTAAAATGATGTACTCACATTTAACACAAAAAGTTGATGGTAAATAAAAAAGAAGTTATAAATATTGTTAGTAGTAAAAAATGATTCTACGCTAGGTATGAATACACCTAACAGTATAATATCTCAAGGACCCACGGAGTGGTCAAATGTCAGAGAGTACGACTAATAACCAAAAATATCGAGTTCAAGCCATATTTATCATTCATATTTCGGGGAGATACGACTAATAACCAAATTGTATCGAGTTCAAGCCATATTTATCCTTAATATTTCGGGGAGATACGACTAATAACCAAAAATATCGAGTTCAAGCCATATTTATACTTCATATTTCGGGGAGCGCTCTACTTCCATCAGTACCATGGACTGCCAGGTTAGCTAACTTTACTAACTTTAACCACTTTAACCATTGCACTCCTTACCGAAGACAATCTTCATGATCCACGGTCGTGATATGTGGCTCAGTAGCAGTCCTAAAACAAAAGGCTCATATGTATATGTAGATCATTTACAATTTCTTTTGTCCTGAGATCATTTGTATGTGAGATATTTTGTCTGGGATATTTTGTCTGGGATATTTTGTCTTAGAACAAAGATTTGCTGAGATAAATTGTCATGAAAGCTTATATATATATATATATATATATATATATATATATATATATATATATATATATATATATATATATATATATATATATATATATATATATATATATATATATATATATACACATATATATATATATATATATATATATATATATGTATGTGTGTGTGTGTGTGTTATAGCGAGTGTCCTATTGGAAAAAATATTTGCGGTAAATACCGAACCTCCCCATCCCCATCTCGTCGTTGCAATGATCCAACTCACCAACATTAGAAATCATATTTGAACGCTACAGTATTTTTATACTAGGACCTACCTCCTTGCCGACTACAAAGCTTCTTACAGAATTAGCAAGTCATATACCTGTCATAGCAGTCTAGCAAACATTAATTCGTGCATTGTTGGTATAATTAATTAAATATACACCTACTCTGGGTAAAGGTCAGGTTCTGTGTCTATGATATATTGTTCTCGGATCTCCTCTTGAATTCTTGATAAACGAAGTTGCAAGGGCTTTTCTGCTTTGGTTATTTCCTTCACTGTAATTATTAAGGTGTTTTTAGGGTTGCAAATAAGAAATGTATTAAATAGTGTGACTGGATTTCGATGTTATAATATAACGTTGTATCAAACAATTGTTCTTATGTTATAAGTTAGAAATATAGAAATAGTAGTCAAGATAGTTGTTAAATAAGTTTTAGGAACAAAAGGAATCTGAGGATAACAGAATTTAGATGGTAAAAAATTTAATTTACAATTAATCAAATTTAAACCTAGACACAACATTTTAACTGTAATAATTTGGCATTTGAATATCGCTAATAAATCTATAAGTGTTTCAAAAAAATCAACATCATCTATATCTTATACTAGCTGCATATCCTGCTTCTTTTAAAAATGTACCAACTTGGGAACAGAATAAAACAAAACACAAACACAAATAAGAAAAGAAAACACAAACACAAACGAAAAAACTCGCACCACGCAGACCCAACACAAATACAAACACAAAAGAAAACGCAAACTCGAACAAACACGCAATCGAAACCAAAACGCAACCACAAATGCAAACACAAACGCAAACATAAACATGCGCTTTGAAATGTATAAATAATTATAAAATTTAATGTATCTATTTAGATTCTAGATCTACATCTAGATCTAGAGCTACGGAAAAACTAGACTTTAGTCAGCCGTAGATACCAATAATGAGTTTCTATACTAAACTATTTCAGGCCTTAATTATTTTATATAAATCTTTGTTTGTTTAGCTATATATATATATATATATATATATATATATATATATATATATATATATATATATATATATATATATATATATATATATATATATATATATATATATATATATATATATATATATATATATATACATATACATATATATATATATATATATATATATATATATATATATATATATATATATATATATATATATATATATATATATATATATATATATATATATATATATATATATATATATATAGGGCCTATATATATATATAGATATATATATATAATAACCTTCTCGCTGTTTAACGAGTTCTTTCACATTAACCACCCAGATTCAGACACTTTCACTTTACCAGTACCCTTTTTATTCAGCGTATCCCTTTGAATTTTGTATTTCCACAAATACGCCATGTAATTATTCGTTATATACATTTGTAAAATCCTTCGTTTTTTTTTTGATGTTTGAAAAATTATGTAAAATGTGTTAATGTAGATGTATTTATTTTATTTGGCAAATAAAAGTTTTTTAAATTAAAAAAATATAAATATTAAAAACAAATGTGGTTTATGGTTAAAAATCTATTGCAATAACGGAAAAAAGGACACGCAACTAACTATAGATAGAGAAAGAAAATAATTACATAATAATACATTTTACTACTTACAGAACGGAGAAAATCTGTCCTTGCTTTTTGACATTTTACATAGGAACGGGACAAACAGTAAGAATATGGGAGCAGGATATCGCATCTTGTGATACTTGATCGTAATCCTGAGTGAGTGGCGCCGCCACACCCCCTCGGCTTTCTGTTCGATACGCTTGATCTCTGAGCTGTTAAAATAATGGAGGAAGTTTCTTCATAAATCTTTATCACCCCCCCCCCCCCTCTCTCCCTATCTTTGTATCACCTTTCACAAAAATTCTAATTATGTCTGAAAATTATTTTAATTTAGTCATTTGGCACTCATTACGTCCCTTCAGACATTTCAGAAAACACAATTACTTCCCTTTATAAAAAACATTTTATTGGGAGGGGGGGGGGGAGGATACTTTTTATTATTTTGTTTTGGTGTTGATAAAAAAATACTTACATAATTAGCACGGATTGATCAAGTGCAATGTGGTAGGTACTCTAAATACTGCCTTTTATTTATTTTATACAGAACGTGCTTTTTACTTATTATTTTTTTAAATTAATAGTAGTTAAGAAACCACTTTAAATGTCCCCTAAGTTTACTTCTATTTTTCGGTTGGCGGCAAAGCTTAGGGTATTATCGTCGTTCTCTAAATTGAATCAGGTACGTCCGCCGGTGCCCCGGCTGGGTTCGATTTGGCGCCCTGGGCTATCCTGTTAGTGATTTTTTTTGCATAATTTTGTTTTAAACATTGCGATAAACTATAGATAAGAAAGGTTACTATAGTCTTTAACTGAGTTTAATCCGGGCCTCCTCCGGCGCCCCGACAGGATTCTATATGGCGCCCCTAGTCTTCCCGTGTTAGCTATGGAGCCTACGTTCGTTTGAGTAATGGCGAAAGACTATGAATAAGTTGGGGTACTATAATCGTTTAATAATTTGAATTAGGCGGTTTGGCCGCCGCCCCAACATGGTTTTGGTTTGTTTTATTTCTTTTTTGTTTGCGTTCGTTTTTGTGCTTTGTTTGTGTTTGCAGGGACAGGGGCAGTGGCATGGGCATGGGCATGGGCAGGCGCAGGCGCAGGTACAGGTACAGGTACAGGTACAGGTTCAGGTACAGATACAGGTACAGGTACAGGTACAGGTACAGGTACAGGTACAGGTACAGGTACAGGTACAGGTACAGGTACAGGTACAGGTACAGGTACAGGTACAGGTACAGGTACAGGTACAGGTACAGGTACAGGTACAGGTACAGGTACAGGTACAGGTACAGGTACAGGTACAGGTACAGGTACAGGTACAGGTACAGGTACAGGTACAGGTACAGGTACAGGTACAGGTACAGGTACAGGTACAGGTACAGGTACAGATACAGGTACAGGTACAGGTACAGGTACAGGTACAGGTACAGGTACAGGTACAGGTACAGGTACAGGTACAGGTACAGGTACAGGTACAGGTACAGGTACAGGTACATGTACAGGTACAGGTACAGGTACAGGTACAGGTACAGGTACAGGTACAGGTACAGGTACAGTTAGACGTATAGGTAAAGGTACAGTTAGACTTATAGGTACATGTGTAGGTGTAGGTGTAGGTGTAGGTGTAGGTGTAGGTGTAGGTGTAGGCTTAGGCGTAGGCGTAGGCGTAGGCGTAGGCGTAGGCGTAGGCATAGTCGTAGGCATAGGCATAGGCATAGGCATAGGCATAGGCATAGGCATAGGCATAGGCATAGGCATAGGCATAGGCATAGGCAAAGGCATAGGCATAGGCATAGGCATAGGCATAGGCATAGGCATAGGCATAGGCATAGGCATAGGCATAGGCATAGGCATAGGCATAGGCATAGGCATAGGCATAGGCATAGGCATAGGCATAGGCATAGGCATAGGCATAGGCATAGGCATAGGCATAGGCATAGGCATAGGCATAGGCATAGGCATAGGCATAGGCATAGGCATAGGCATAGGCATAGGCATAGGCATAGGCATAGGCATAGGCATAGGCATAGGCATAGGCATAGGCATAGGCATAGGCATAGGCATAGGCATAGGCATAGGCATAGGCATAGGCATAGGCATAGGCATAGGCATAGGCATAGGCATAGGCATAGGCATAGGCATAGGCATAGGCATAGGCATATGCATAGGCATAGGCATAGTGTGATGACGCAAGATTACGTCAGACATGTTTAGCAGATATAGGTTAGCAGAAACAGACTATAGGCCTAGTTGGTTGGTTAGAGAGGCCAATGGGCGCACAGGGCTGTTCGGTCACGTGGGACGGTCAGCTGACCACTGAAGCGTGGGCCACTGTTACGCGAGAGATCATGATTAGCTAGCGAGGGCAGAAGGTGTTAGGTTGTAGAATGGAACAGACGTAGTTATGTAGAGAACAGTTAGAATGTAGATAGTAGTAGGATTGGTCATGGAAGGGCGTGTTAGTAGAGTTAGTAATAGTAGTGGTAGTAGATATTATTTAACAGGCTAGTTAGGTAGAAACTTGATTTTTATAATTTTAATAAAGAACTTTGTATTTGGAACTGAACTGTGTGTTATTGGATTCATTCGTTCCGCCACCATAAAAATCCCCACCCTCACAACTGGTGCAACAAGAAGAAATTCAAACAAGATCCTCATTTCGTACCATCACAACTGGTGGTAACCATCATCAAAACACCTGTACCCTCACAACTGGTGGAGCGCGGGTCGAGGACAGGAAGACAGTATATCGGTTTACTCATGACGGAGTGTACTGGTGTACAGCTTCCTATAACTCAACACAACAGCGGGTTTCTTCAACCGGAACGAGTGGATTACCAATACAAGGGAACAGTCACCATGTTCAAAAAGATAAGTACCTTCCATCATTTTTTTTTAAACGTTTGGGTTTATACCCCTGCTGGATAGTTTGTGCCAGCGGTTTTTCTGCCTTACACATTCTATTGTTACGCACTGTTGCCTTAGTTATTTTGACTTTCCTCAACACACACACATACACATACACAACCATTGAGGCAGAGTTTCAATGCTATAAACAGGGCATACCATTAGACAAAACAGGAGAAGAATTTGAAACATCTTTAGAGAGTAGGTTAGAAAACAAGATAGTCAAGATAGTAAAACATGTCAAGAACAAAAGCAGAGTTAGCGTTAGAATTAGTGAAACGGAAAGTACAGCACATAGATAACACGCAACTGCCCAAGAACACCAACCCCATGACCAAAAATGTGACCCCGACCGTCCCCCTAAAAGATTTTGAACAACGGACAAAAGTGAAGTCAAGTCGAGTTTTTGTGTTGATCTAAGTAGTCGAGGAAATCGACGTGAAGTCGTACAGTCAGAAGTCAGTGTAGTCAAATCTGAAGTCAATTGTGTTATTGAAGTCAGTGAAGTATAAGTCAGAACTGAAGTCAAAGAAGTTATTCGAAGTCAGTCACGTCAGTCAATAAGTTATTGAAGTCATAGTTGAGGTCACAGTGACGTAGTTGAAGTCAAAGAGAAGTCTTTGAAGTCATATTGAAGTTGTTGAAGTCAAAGTGAAGTCTTTGAAGTCATATTGAAGTCATATTGAAGTCGTTGTAGTCATATTGAAGTTGTTGAAGTCAAAGTGAAGTCTTTGAAGCCATATTGAAGTTGTTGAAGACAAAGTGAATTATTTGAAGTCATATTGAAGTAGTTGAAGTCAAAGTGAAGTCTTTGAAGTCATATTGAAGTCGTTGAAGTCAAGGAAAAGTCTTTGAAGTCAAAGTGAAGTCGTCTAAGTATTTGAAGTCGAAGTTTAAGTCAGTCAGTGAAGTCTATTAAGTTTAAGTCAGTCGAAGTCAGTCAGAGGTCTATGAAGTCAGTCGATTTAGTCGTCAAGTGAAGTCGAAGTCGGTCAGTGATGTTTATGAAGTCAGTGAAGTAAGTCGTCAAATTGAAATAAGTCGTCATAGTGAAGTCAGTCAAGCTACTGAAGTCTAAAGTGAAGTCAGTCGTTAATTTGAAATAAGTCGAGTTACTGAAGGCAAAGTGAAATAAGTCAAGTTACTGAGGTCATAAGTGAAGTCAGTCCATTAAGTCATGCCAGCCAGTTTAAGTTGTCAAAAGTCAGATAGTGAGAGCTGCTCCACTATATGATTACGTGTTCAAATGTTATTTGAAACGGCACGATTATTTATATACACTCACATGTCTATTCTTTTTGTGAAGCTATTTCTAAGCTCTAGTAGTGTTTACGTCTATTGAGTTTATTAGGCTTTACAGATTGTTGTTAGATTAGAGTGTACTGATTTTTTTATTTTGGTTATGTTGTAATGTTATTTTTTTATGTTTTTTATGCCGCCAGACAAATGTTCAGCACGTATAAATTTGGGATTGAGGTTTTTTTTAATGGAAGGTACCTCTGTCGGCACATACAAAGGGTAGACGACCCATCGTCCAAGTTCCCAGCGTCGGAACGTTACGTCATCGTTCGACACCGCATCAGACAGCTCCAGTTCATCGTATAACCACTCTACGTGGACGTCTCAACCAGCGTTGAGTTTGTTGCGTCATCACATTGACCAACGAAAGTTACGCCTACACCCGCCTCACGGGAGATTACATCAAAACTCGCCACAACCCACCCACCACAGAGGAACGCCAGCAATTACATAACACTTACACATACACTTACACTGCTCGCAGAGCCCCTTCAACCAGTTACACATTCTACTAAGATTAGCTCAAGGCCAGTACACGACAACCTAGCCAGAACTGAGTTACACATGATTGAATTCACACATGCCATAACATAGACATACATTAGCAAGCAGAGACACCAGTCACACCACAAGATTTCAGGAACTAGAACAATGACATTGTTTTTTTCAGGAACACAGACACAAGATTTTATGTTTTGTAAACTGTGCTGTCCCATTTTGTATTTGATTTACATATTTGATGTTAGGGATAGAATAGAGTAGTAAGATAGATAGTTGTTGATGTATTAGATTAGTAGTAGACGCTGAAAAATATAATTTGTCAGCTACAGAAAGGGAGGGAGATATGTGATGACGCAAGATTACGTCAGACATGTTTAGCAGATATAGGTTAGCAGAAACAGACTATAGGCCTAGTTGGTTGGTTAGAGAGGCCAATGGGCGCACAGGGCTGACCGGTCACGTGGGACGGTCAGCTGACCACTGAAGCGTGGGCCACTGTTACGCGAGAGATCATGATTAGCTAGCGAGGGCAGAAGGTGTTAGGTTGTAGAATGGAACAGACGTAATTATGTAGAGAACAGTTAGAATGTAGATAGTGGTAGGATTGGTCATGGAAGGGCGTGTTAGTAGAGTTAGTAATAGTAGTGGTAGTAGATATTATTTAACAGGCTAGTTAGGTAGAAACTTGATTTTTATAATTTTAATAAAGAACTTTGTATTTGGAACTGAACTGTGTGTTATTGGATTCATTCGTTCCGCCACCATAAAAATCCCCACCCTCACAACTGGTGCAACAAGAAGAAATTCAAACAAGATCCTCATTTCGTACCATCACAACTGGTGGTAACCATCATCAAAACACCTGTACCCTCACGCATAGGCATAGGCATAGGCATAGGCATAGGCATAGGTACATGTAAAGGGTTCTAAGAGAAAGTCCAGAAAGACACTTGCCAAAATACGAATTTGCCCTAACACCGATTTCTCTTTTTGAAACACATAAAGGCGTCCTAGTTTTTAATACAAAACGTAGTTAAAAACTTCACTTCACAAAGTGCTAACTCGGAAACACTTTCTAGAAACAAAATGTAGTTAAACACAACACGTACATAAACACAGCACTTATTAAAACACAATTTACTTGAATACAAGACTTACTTAAAAACAGCGATGAGGATGCTAAACAGTAGAATATTGATGGTGAGAAAATAAATGCCCAATAGGACTGGAACGAAATATCTCCCCGTCCCTGTGGGGCATCGAAGTTGTTCGTAGTCCTCGTACAGGCTGGGGTCGTTGGTGCACGTTGGCTCATCTTTAGATGTGAATAATATGGTCGACATAAATTCTTACACAAATACGGCAACTACATGTTATTTTAAGTGTATATGTCTATATGCATTCATGTGTAGTGTCAAATGTTTGGAATCTTACTTTGGAATGAAAAAATATGCAAAAGTTGATTACAAAAACATGTTTTAGTTTATCTAACCTATAATTGTGGGGTCTAAAACTGGGTGTATTTACAATACAAGTTTTACGTATCGGCTATATATATGTTCTCTTTCTCACATTGCCAAGCATATTACTTCAAGTAGTATTATCCATTCAAGAATATACGACATATGACTCTAGGTAATTTCAATGTTTAAGTAAACTTTTGATTGACAAATTAAAAAAAAAAAACCAGAGAAAACGTACTTAGGAAAAGTGAATACTATTATTTTAAAACGTGTATTTTTAAATATATATTTATGTGGAAAAGGTATTAAACCTTTTTAATCTTAAAAAATACAAAGTAAACATTCTTTACCAATGTCACCCTCCTGACTTTCTAGCTCGTTCAGAAAAAATTCCCCGAACATTCCCCAAAATGCTCTGCGTGCTACGTAGTAGGCCAACAAGGGAGTGAGCTTAGATCTGGGATACAAGACGGACTCAGAGGCGACGGCGTAAGAGAAAAAAATTACAAAGATGATCACCATAAACTTGAGCAGTTTCTCCACCTGCATATAATAGAATTGGTGCGGAATTCATATTCAAAAGAGCAAAGTGGACTATTAATTTCAGCATAACTAAACCATCAATATAGCATCAAATGGTACGTGATATTTACTAAAAAATGGTAGCTGCAGTGATGTTTATGCAAATAAAATGCGCAACCGCCTGTCAAAGAATATCACCAACAGGTTCGGTAGGTATTATACAAAGTTCGCGTTATTGCATTACGAGTTATTTTACCCTTCATGTTGAATCACTCCAGCTGCCTATGGGAAACCTCAAAATTGACAATCAATTTTACTGTAAGTCCGATAATGTAGTTTACGTTATCCAGGCGATGGGACATCTTTTAATGTCTAACAGGGTCTCATGAAATCGTTCACACATTTTAGCGACAAAAGCTTTTATGAAAGAAAGCAAATACGTTTTGTTTTCTTATTTTCAGTGCATTTAATTTTGAAGCTTGCTATTAGAAATGATTTTTATCTTAGTTTTATTTTCTACTTTTTAGTAATTCATAAGGCTACTACTCACAATATTTGCTAAAAAACACCATCAGTAGCTCGCGATGTTTGAAACCCGATTATACATTTTTTAAAATGCTTGAGTTAGAACGACCATTATAGACGCGACATGAACTTAATTAATATTTAGTAAGATCCACAACTCTGGTGCCGTAATGTAGAGTTTACATTTTAGATTGAATTTCAGTTGTATTATTGAGATCCTGTAATATTCATTAACCTTTTTCTTATACAGTAGATATAGTTTTTAGTGTACATGGTTCTGTTACACATTCTCTTAAGTTTTTCTTTTTTTCTTGTTTAAGGTGATGATTAGGCTTACAATTTTTTGTTATAGAAGTATAAAAAGTTACTTACCATATTTTTAAACATGGCCATGAGTGGTCCAAAGAACTCACTGGAGTAACAAATCTCTAGAAGACCAAAAGAAAAGCCAATGTAAGAGATTCCAAGTAAGACGTGGGTGTAGTTGGTATTCGTCACTTCTGTAGGGTCGTAGAAAACTGCAATACGAAGTCCATAGCCCGCAAAGAAGAAGGCAAATGATATCAGTTTCACCACCAAGAATAACTGCAGCCATTTGAAGAGTGGGTTTCTCAGATACTAAACAGATACATGAAAAGTTGCGTTATTGTTGAAACAAGATTTGAGAAAGTTTGAACATTATTGTTTTATTGCCTTAATTCAACTATAGTTGTGTTAATACTTTCATTATATTGCATAGCATACATTAAAAATATCAATTTGTCATCGCATCAGTATTTTATATATATATATATATATATATATATATATATATATATATATATATATATATATATATATATATATACATATATGTTAAATATCTATCGAGATAGGGTAATATTAAATATTAAGTGAGATAGGCTAGAGTATTCTGCAGGTTTTTTCAGGATAGTACCCCTACACATTGGTAAAATAATCACAACTACATTTTCTTTTCTTTTGTAGAAAAAGGGCTGGTTATTTTTTTTTAAAATATTTTTCACATAATGCTACCAAAGTTTTCATTAAAAAAAAGTATATTATCCATGTGTCTACCTGGTTGAATTCCTCACAAATAAAGCTGATTATCCACGCCCACACCAACCATTCCAGCCAATGGAAGGAAGCGGGTTCAAGCACAGAGACAAGCAGCATGGCGTAGAGAACAAGAAACACCAGGTGGCCTATCTGGATGTGGGAGACAATAAATAAATAAATAAATAAATATATATATATATATATATATATATATATATATATATATATATATATATATATATATATATATATGTGAGAGACAAGATGTATATGTGACATATGGACTATCTGGATGTGGGAGACAAGATGTATATGTGACATATGGACTATCTGGATGTGGGAGAAGATATTTATGTGACATAGCAGGTGAGATGTGCGATACAAGAGGCCGTGTCTATTTTAAAGTCACATAATTAGTCTTTAATCAAAGCTGATAAAACAAGCACTTTGTTTGGAGATCCTAAATCTTACCCCAAACACACTATTACAAACACAAGGCCCAATCGCACTCTAATCAACATGTTCAAAACTGCACTTTTTAACGCAATTTCCATACTGGCAATTGCGTTTAATAATTCCTCATTTCTGGATGGATGGATGGATGGATGGATTGATGGATGTGTGGATGTGTGTCCGCAGCTTTAAGTCGTATCTCCTCCTCAACGAAGCAACATCGAGGACTAGTTCCAAAGCAAATATGTTAAGCAAGTTTCGAGGATGATTGTGGGCCCAAAAAATTAGCGGAATTTCTTCCTGGATTTCCCGGAAAAGCAAAAAAAAACTCGAAAAAAAAATGCAGTTTTTGGCCCATATCTCGGCAACCAGACCACTTAGCGACTTGAAACATTTACCAATCGATTCCTGCCATAATTTAGAACAATATTGCCGAAGAAAGTTTTCAAAAATATCCTTTCGTTTGGTCACAAAAAATTAATTAAGAATTTTTAAACTGAGCATCGTGTAGGCCTAGGATAATATTTTTAATTTAAACTGAGCATCGTGTAGGTTTTTAGCGCAAAAAAATATCCTTTCGTTCGGTCACAAAAAAATAAAAATTGTTATGGATACATTTGTATTAACTTGTTTACTTAATACATGTCCATGCGATTGTGTAAATTAGGTGAAGCTGAGAGGTAAGGGAATAGTGTTTTGGTTTTGCGCACAAATGTCTAGTTTATGATTGCTGACACAAGTACTTAAAACTAACCTCACACAATTCACACTTTAAGAATTCTTTACGTTATAGCAGATATTTTTAGCCTAGGTTTCATCGAACCCCTGGGAATCAGCGAGTCCGTATTAATTTGTATTTATTGCAGGATATTATTTCGTATACGAAAACTGAAATAAGGAATTTTATAACACACAAAACAACAAATATGTACAATCGGAAGGAAGAATAAATTATCTTACCAATTGCAGCAGAACCAGGACTGATGGCGCCAAAAATTTTCTTAAAATCAGATCATACTTTCTGATCGAGCAGCAGCATGACATATAGATAAAGGCCCAACTATGGATGAACAACATCAATTTTCACGTGATGAGCGAATTATAACATAAATAACTATTTTATTATAAATAATAATAAAAAGCTTACAACGAAAGCTTGGCCAACATTTTATGATCTTTGCAAGTGTCGCATACCTGTTGAAAAATTAAATAGTAATAGTAGGGATAGAAATAATACACTGTTAACATTATAAATGAAGTGTGCACAATTGGAAACAAATTCTGAGATGGCTAAAAACAAAACGCTAGTAGAAAGTTATTCATCACTAAGAAAACCAAAAAAAAAACGGGTTTTTAATCGATTTTTTAGATGGCATATGTTTGTTAGTTCGGGCGGCACTGTCTAGCAGGTACGATTGAGTCCTGAATGTATCAACTAGAGATTGTAAACAATAACTCCATAGCAAATGCCTTTAATTTTAAATTCTCAAACGTGTGGCTGATAAATTCTTAAATACTTTAAGTTACTATTTTGTTTTTTAAAATTACAAAATCGTTCCTCAATGCATAATCTGATGACGTTTATTTCATAATGCAGAAATATATTGTAATATACTGATATAAGTTTAATTGATTTAATGTTATGCACGAGGAACTGTGCAAGGGTGTAATTTACCTTAGTGTTACATTGTAATACCGGAGACGGAGATATAACAATATCCTTAAGCACTATGAATTTCAGAGTTATCGTTCTCACAAAAAATCTATTTAAAATTGTTAGATAACACATTGACACGTCTGGCTAATTGATTGTTTTTAAAACTTATTTCAAGACCTAGAATTACAAATAATGAAGAACACGAAAGGGATTTACCTAACAAAATTATATATTTGTATTTGTCGCTTTTTTTATTAAGGTTGGAGGGGGTGAAGAAGGAGGAGAGAACGGCAGGCGATAATATGTGCGACATTTGTCTATACATTTAGTAAAAATTAATATAGGATAGGGACTGAATAAAAATGACCCGTTTTATAAATATATGCATGGTCCGTATTTACCCTGCAATGCTCTAGTTTTCCTGAATGTTCTCCAATATTTCCTTTAGCAGATCTATGAAAACTTCCGCCCTGGGCCTCTTTGTTGTGAACTTGTGTACTTTCGTTTTCTTCTGATTCCTCCTTCACGTGCCACATGCATTCGTTCTTGACGTGAGTACCCCAGTTCCACAAGCGATCGTTGAGTTCCGTACACGGCGTTTGTGACAAGAAGTTTAAGTTGTAGTTGTTGATGGCCAGGTAGATGCATGTTGTGTTGCCCCATTCTGGCATGCTGAAGATCAGAAGTCGGATAGTTTCTTCGGGGTATTTCTTGTAGGTTCGCATTAGCGTGTCCACAGCGTACTTTTCAAAATCCCTATGTTAATAAAATAAATTACATAAAAGTATTCACCTTGCTGTAGAGTAAATACATGCAGCATAATATACTTAAAAAACTGGTTCCGAAAGGTTCCAAATTTGTGTTGCCTAAAAGCACATTTTCTAACCAAAATTGAATATTTTATAACATTTGTGTAATAGGTCCAAAACTAGAAATAGTCATAGAAATAATTACTAGTAATATAATAGTAATTTGGAGAACGATTTTATTTTAAATTTGGATTAGCAGAGTCAGCGTGTTGAGGTGATTGGGGATGTTATATTATTTAATATAAATACAATACTACGCTAATAGATCACTATTTTGTATTTTTATCATGGAATACACTTGTTCTGACTTTTATTATTTTACTCTCCATGGACATTACGGTTGACTTCAAGGTGAAGTCGATGTCAGTTTTTGAAAATATTTGAATTGATAATATAATTATAAACGGCTTTTCAACAGCTTATATTCAATACATGAATAAATATAAAAAGAGTGTAATCGATGTTTCTCAAACGGCTTTAATTTTTACAAATGCAACTATAATTTTATCACTTGCCATATTTTTAAAAAGAATTTAAAAAAAATTTAGTATGATTACATAGACTTTTCATACCAATTGTTTCACCAGAAGCTACGTCTATTAATATTACATAAACCTTTTTCTAGGTAAATAAATTGAAATTAAGCCTGAATAATAATTTATAACGTCCCGGAGTCCACCCAGCCCTGATGGGTACCTGATGCACGTTACGGAAAGTAATGACGGTTAAGCCTAGTGCTGACGCCATATTCCTTAATATGTGAGGTCACAGAGAAAGGAAACTCTACTTCAGGGGTTCCCAACCTTTTTTTACTCAAGAGCACATTCTAAAATATCGGTAGGGTGGCGGGCACCACCTATTTTAAATCGACAAACTCCTTCCAGAGGCGTAGCGACCCTTCCCGTCACCCGGGGACAAAAGTTTCGATTTGCACCCCCCCCCCCTTCCAACTTACGATTTGCACCCCCCCCCCCCTCAAATTTTTGATTGCACACCCCCCCCTCAAACTTTCGATTACCATCCCCTTCAACCTTTCAATAATGTTTATGAAAAAAATTCTGTCTCTGTCGAGTAGTGAGAGGCGGGCACATACGTATCGTTCAGCGGGCGCCATGGCGCCCGCGGGCACGGGGTTGGGAACCCCTGCTCTACTGCTCAGCCAAAATACTAGCGGTAGACAGATTTATTTTAGTATTTAATCAAAAAAATTTTGTGATGTACAAGTTTCCATTAGCAATATAAATCTCGAGACACTTAATATTGTAAAATCATATTGTTACATTTAATTTAGACTGCATTACATTGTTGATGATATATATATATATATATATATATATATATATATATATATATATATATATATATATATATATATATATATATATATATATATATATATATATATATATATATATATATATACAAAGAATATAACATGTTGAACATATACTTATAGTATTCTTTTAACTGCTGCACTTTGTCTTCATTAGTCTCATGTTCTCTTAGTACTTTCAGTATCCCACAGGCATACAATGCAGCCCCTGTTGGGTGCTGATAACATAAAATTACAATGTAATTATACTTACGACTTGTTTCTTAATCAATTGTCGGAAAATTATTAAGTCATTGTGGTAATAAGATTGGGGCAGCCACGAAATGTTTGTATGTATGTATATATATATATATATATATATATATATATATATATATATATATATATATATATATACACATATATATATTCAAATAGATATAGATACACATTAAAGTTTATCCTCCACTAATTCATTCTTAACCTGAAAATATATGTTTAATTTAATCACCGCAACTTACAGAAACTCTCCGCCATAGTACCTTAGCCAATTTAATTTTTCTGGCCCGAACAGACTTTTTAAATAACTTGTTGGCTGGAAAACAAGTAGACTATGTCACATTATCTTAAATAAAAAATAAAAAACTATGTATAATATTCTACGAAAAAATGTAATAAAATTAAGTATATAAGATTTTATTTATAAAGTATACGCCACTCAAAATGAGACACAAAATCTTACAATATGATTTTACGTAAACAGTAATTTTAAAAAGTAAAACGAAAAAACAAAA